TCCAGCATTCGCTATGGCCCCGCCTTCGTCCCACGCCCCCCCAAACTCCATCCCTGTCCTGCTGGGCCAGACCAGGCCAGCCCAGATTTCGGGTGGGTGTCTGCTGGCCCAGAATAGTCCGGTTTTGGGTTGTGGGTCTGCGAATTACTAAACATAAATCATAAATATTTTAAAGTTTCAAATTACCAGTGGCAAAAACAATCAATGCATGCAAGCCACCCTCCTGCCCCATAGATCCCACCCCACCCCACCCACCGCTTTCGAGTCCTGAGGCCTTTTTGAGGCGTTCCCCAAGCGCTGTCACACAGCTGTCAACATTTGCCAGAGGTCCAGGGGACGGCACGCAATCAGCGCTAATCTAATGAGTGTCAGTGGATTGCATGTGGCATGTGGCATGGGGCATGGTGAGGTATAGCCGTATTGTTCAGCCAGGTGTTGGAACCGGGCTGGGATGCCGAGGCGGCTCAGAGTTTCCCCAAATGAAATGACAAAGTGGCGCCTCCTGCTTTTATCCTTTCCTCCTCGTCGCCATGCAAGTTATGAATATTGCAGAATGCCGAAACGACATCTTGTAACTTCTCAAGTATGTAACGGGGACTTTTATGTGCAGTTACCGTTAGCAGTTTTCCCCGTTACCGTTGGCAACGGCAGGCAAGCAGGCAGGCAGGACGGCAGGCAGCCAGCCAGGAGTCTGTCCCAGTCAGCCATCATATAAAAATAATTATTTGCCAGCGCATTCATTACCCATGACAGTTCCACGCAGATCCGTGGCACTCGGGGTCCTCGATCCACGCCGCCTCTGCAGCCAGCTACGGGGAATATTAAAAATGCAATTTCTACCTCAAAAAAAAAAAAACTAAAGAAGTGCGAAAGGAAAGAACAGAGCGGTCGGTGGGGGAGAAAGTGCGTGCTGCCATTCCCATTCACGGACACCGCAATACGCATTTGCAAATTGCATTGCCAACTGAGCACCAACTGAGGACTCTGCCAACTCTGACTCCTGGACCCCTTCCTCCCCCCATTCCCAATCCGGAGCCCACTCTTGAGTTGCAATTTCATTTTACGTCTCATCATTGTGGGACTTGGACATGAGCATCAAATTAAATGCTCGCAATGCAATAAACATTAATAAAAATAAGAATCAAGGTAGGTGCTCACGCTGCTCATTCCTCCCCCCTTCTCCACCTGCTGCTCTGGCGGGAATGGAAATTGCTCATAAACAAGTCCATCAAATAAAGTGCACAATACTCTCGCCCAAACGGACCGACAAACGACAAACGGCAGAACGAAACGGAACGAAAATAAGTCGAGTTTTTTCCGCTCATCCATTGGTGACTTTTGGCGTAAAAACCGCAGCACAATATTAACAATGACGCATGGAGGACGCCACACAGAGGCACACACAGATACTCCCACACAGATAGGGCCACACAGATGCATACATACATACATACATACAGAGCAGACTATCAAATTTTAATACGCTCCGCCCGGCTGTGCCTTTATTTCATAAATTTTTAATGAAATTAAGCGGCAAAGCTTTTTGGGTTTTTGGGTTTTTGTTGCCGGCTGCCTCTGGTGTCTGGCCGAATGTGGCCAGAGCATTCGAAATAAATCATAAAGAGTAAAATACATAAGTAAGCCAGACGGAACGGACAGATAGACAGCCGGACGGACGGACGGAGGAAGGACGGACGGACGAACATTGTTTGCATACCTTTTTAAATGGTTTTAAAACTTTTTCTCTTTTCGTAAACCACAACTAAAAGTGCGGCCTGTTAAATTATGAATTAAGCGGTTTTATTCGGCTCTATATATGCAGCCAAGCACTCGTATTTACAGTGGATATAGTCTTTTGTTTTTAATGAGTGCGATTGCAGTGGCTTTGAATATTTGAAGAGGTCAACTAGAACACAATGAGTACTTCCTGCAGTCCGCTACCAATAGAGATGGCCTAGGGGAAAGAGCACGGAACAAGTCACGAAAGACAAACGAAGTTCTGCCTAGTTTTTGATCATATTTTCTGGGCAGGTAATTGTGTAAAAAGGACTACTAAAATTTTCCATCAAGCACCAATAGTTCACCATAGTCCAAAGTACAAGATATTCACGAGGAATACGCTCCCACTCACGACTCATGCACTCCGCTCTAGATGGAACCCCAAATGCACCCCAAAAGAGGAAGGAAAAAAAGCACAGCCCGAATGAGGCAGACAACCCCCGGGAGCAGGACAGGACGGGACGGAACAGCAGAGAGGACTGAAGCAGGAACAGGAGGAACAGGCGGGCCATATGCGAAATCAAAAGTTGTTTATGACTCAATTTGTAGTTTTTGAACATGAATTATTGCAGCTGTGAGCGGGGGGGCCCAAACAGAAAAATATTAAAACGAAGTTTTGAAAAGTAAAGAAAAAAAAACCAGCACGAATGTGCAGCACACAGTATTTCGGATGAGGGAAAACTAATTTCGGAAAAAGGAAATTAAATATGGCAAAGTTTGACATGTGACAGATTTCTTGCTGTTGCTGTGGCCTCTTGTTTCGATTCCCATATTCATTTGTGGAGGCAAATAATTGAAACATTTGCTGCTGCTGCTGCTGCTGCTGCTATTGGCAAACATGCAAATTCCAATTTCAATTTTCAGCCAAACAAAGCCTCACACTCAGAGGCAGGATACAGGACAGGTTAAAAGTATTTTGAAATTATTTTGAACTGCTGTACCTGTACCTGATACTGAGCTCAATCCAGGAGTCATTCATTTCATTTGATTTTATTTGATTTAAATTCCATTCCGTAGGGCTGTGTCAGTGCCTTCTGTGGTTCGCTTCGCCTGCTAGCCAATTTTGCATATTTTTACAACTTGTGCTCGACACTTAATTTAGTCAATAACATGCAAATGATTCCGCCAGAGTCTAATTGGAAAAGCAACTCGAAAGAGTCGGTGACGGAGTCGGAAAACTGCAACTTTTCCTTAGTTCTTTTGGACTTCACCTCCGACTCTGACTCTAGCTCTAGCTCTGGCTCTGACTCTCGCTGAATTCAGCAGCATTAAAAGCTGCGGTGCGTCAAACTTATAATCAAGAGGGGATTTCCTCTGACATGACAGCGGGTGGCGGGACTCGAAGACTGATGAGCTACAGCGTTTCTGCATTTCATCGCAGTTTCTTGGCTTGGCAGAAAGAAACGGAACGATAGATGAGGCAGTGGAGTGCCAGACAATGCGTTTGCACTGTTAGAAAGGAAGCAAAGGTTCCATTCCACTCTGAGAACTTATCCCAAATGTATCAAAGGCGCAAATGCACTGAGGAAAAATGTATATCTCGAACTGTTTAAAGGAAAGTCATGCAGGAAAAGTTCTCTCAGTGCACAGATGCCATCTGCAGCCGCCACAGCCACCGCCAAGGATGTGCACATTCCTCATCATCAAGTGCTGCTCAGTTGCACGTCTGTGATGTGATATGATTCGGTTGTGGTAGCCATGCTCTCTGGCTCTCTGTCTCTCTCTGTGTCTCTGTTTGTCTGCCAGCTGTCTGTCTCCGAGGCTGTTTGTCAGACTTGGGTTTTCCTTGCGGTTTCTGGTTTCTGGTTTTATTTCGAAGCCCACTCTCACACGCATTCGCTCTCCGCTTCCGTGTGCTGTGCTGTGCGGCAAACGTTGACACATTCGACTGACAAATGGCCATAAGTGTATAATTGGATAAGAACTTGGGCACACGGAGCCAGGGTATTTCTTTTCTCTCTATCACTCTATCACTCTTCATTCGCTCTAACTAAACTCTTTTTGTGCACCCATTTTCCAACTTATTTTCCAGCTCAATCAAATTAGCAGCGGAGTGGACTCATCGGTGCGGGGCACAAACGATGCCTGGAGTGGAGCACTGCATGGCTGACTACTTATCGCTTAATCACATCAGCAGGGCCCATATCTGGCATCTGCATGTAACATTTAGCAACATCAAATCGTTACTCTCCCATCCATTCGCACATCAAAGCCAATCAAAATGGCATTTCAATAATATCAGAGCCATACAATCGTATCAGCAGGGGGGTGGCAGCGACAGCCAGGCAACTGTTGTAATGGAGCGCGCGTATTTTTACCCTCTACCAGTGGATTTCAGGGGTGTTGTATTTGTGCAGAGAATATTTACAATCCGAAATGTTCAATTCGAAACTCTTCTTTGGCTTGATACAAAATATATCAAAACTAATGTGGATCGTTGATAGCTGCACACTCAATCGATATTGTGTGTTGTTGTGGCCAGCAGTTGGTCGGATAAGACCATGGCAGAGGGTATCTTATAGTCCGTATACCAACAATATTTGTCATACTCTGAATTGTTTCGTTCGATTTGCTATGTATGTGTGTGTGTGTGAGTGTGTGTGTGTGGGAGAGAGCTTATGAGTCAGTGAACAGATGAGCGTATGTTTGTCTGCCTCTGTGTGAACACATCAATGATTCGTTCACAAATATTACAAGCATGAACACACACACCTACCCACACACACACACACAAAAACAGCCACACAGCCAGATAGACCCAGAGAATGAATGAATGGGGGGAGGGAGTGAAAGTGCGAGAAAGAGATGGGCGGCACGGGTTGGCTGGGGCCTTGCGGAAATTGTGTCAAACAAGACTTTCGCTTTCCCTCAAAATGTGTCCTTGCCCAAAAGTATATACATACATATATTTATCTCAGTTCCTGTGTATCTGTGTGTGTGTGTGTGTGTGTGTGTGTTGCGTGTCATAAAGATATTGACAGGCCCATAAAGATAACCGTAGTGGATTGTGAATGGCATGTCAAGGAAGAAATTAGGCGAAACTCTCGCCTGTCGCCTGGCCTTCATTGAATACCCTGTCTGAATGTAAATTCTTTGATATTGTGAATGGCAAGCCACGTTAATTGAATGAAACTAAACCAATTCTAGACGAAAGGACTAGTGGGTTCTGCTTCGATACGATTTCCATCTAGTTTGATGGGCTGTCAACGTGTCTGGGCCCACCAGAACGCATTCATTTTTCGGCTGCGTGTTTGTCTATTATGTGATCGAAAATTTGAATTTTACAGTGTTTGAAAATCAGACTCTTACTTGGGCGGAGGGTAAATGGGGCAGCCGCAGCACATCTTTTCGACTGGTTTCCCCTGCTCTCCCTGCTCCCCCTGATTAACCTCCTCCGGACAATCTGTTCCTTTTTGATCGGCCAGTGGGAACTGCTTGATGGCCGGTAGCTTGGTGCTGCTGGTAGGCGGCGCACATTCGCAGTCGGAATCCGTTGCCTCCACTGGCGCCACTGGCGCGACTGCCCCCACTGGCACACGGGACACACTGGTAGGCGACGAGCATCCACAATCGGAATCCGTTTGATGCACTGGTCTCACTGGCACCGATGCCTCCGATGGTTGGTTTGTTGCCTTGCAATCCACGGTCGGTGCTTGCTGTATGCCACCACAGTGCGGACAGATGGAGCAGCCCTCTGGAAGGTCTTCAGGATCGGCACCATCGTATCCCGATTGGCTCCTGATTATTCGGGGTGCTAGGGTGTTCACTGGGTCTGGTATATATTGCCTTGACTCCGAATTATGTCCTGAGTCGACTGCGTTACACCCACAAGGAGCTACTATGGTGGATAGTGGAACAGCACTAGGAGCATACCGGTGAGAGGACGTGAACCTGGTCCCTCGTTGATCAGCAGCGGTCTGTTCTTGATTGTATGGCTCAGTAGCTGATTGTTCCCCATTGTAGGGAACAGTAGAGGATGACTCCACAGGGGCATTGTATGGAACAGCAGCAGCAGTGAACGGGACAGCGGCCATGATCCTGTATTGTGGTTGAGTATTCCTCGTCGGTAGTCCTAGACATTGTAGGCATCGTGGATACTGAGGATCAGCAGTAGCTTGTTCTTGAATGTAAGGATCAACAGCCGACTGTTGTCGACTGTAAGGATCAACTGCGGACTGTTCTCGACTGTAAGGATCAACTGCGGACTGTTCTCGACTGTAAGGATCAACTGCGGACTGTTCTCGACTGTAAGGATCAACTGCGGACTGTTCGCGACTGTAAGGATCAACTGCGGACTGTTCGCGACTGTAAGGATCAACAGCGGACTGTTCTCGACCGTAAGGATCAATAGCGGACCGTTCTCGATTGTAAGGATCTGCAGCAGATTGTTCTCGACTGTAGGGATCAGCAGCAGATTTTGATTGATGGTAAGGATCAACAGCAGACTTTACTCGACTGTAAGGATCAGGAGCAAATTTTCCCCGGTTTTTAGCATCAGCTGAAGATTTTTCTCGACTGTAAGGATCAGCAGCGGATTGTTCCCGATTGTAGGGATCAACAGCAGACTGTTCTCGGCTGTAAGGATCTGCAGCGGATTGTTCCCGATTGTAGGGATCAACAGCAGACTGTTCTCGGCTGTAAGGATCTGCAGCGGATTGTTCCCGATTGTACGGATCAACAGCGGACTGTTCTCGGCTGTAAGGATCAGCAGCGGACCGATCTTGATTGTAAGGATCAACAGCGGACTGTTCTCGATTGTAAGGAACTGCAGCGAATTGTTCTCGACCGTAAGGTTCAACAGCGGACTGTTCTCGATTGTAAGGATCTGCAGCGAATTGTTCTCGACTGTAAGGATCGCCAGCAGATTGTTCCTGACTGTAAGGATCGTTAGAAGCAGTATACTCCACAATGCTGGATTCGTGTTCACTATGGATCGGGAATTGTCCCGTACTGGGTAGAGCAGAAGCTTGCTCTCGAGGAACAGGAGAAGGAGATGACGGGCTCCTTGATTGGCGTTGATTAAGAATCACATTATTGTTGTTATTGTTCTCCACCGTAAGGATCAGCAGCGGATTGTTATGGTTATCCACTGTAAGCGTCGGGGATCGTATTGGACTGGGTTGATCTCGATTGTGAGCAGCAACAGCTGATTGTTCTCGACTGTAACGCTCAGGAGAATGAGTGTACTCGACAGAGTTGGGGATGCTAGATTCTCGTTGACTAGGGATCATGGATCGGCCCGGGCTGGTAATAGCAGCGGACTGTTCTCGACTGTAAGGATCGGCTCTGTTCTCCACAAAGGTCGGGAGCCTGGATTCTGGTTGTGAAGGGGCCGGAGATCGTCCGGGACTGACAGTCGGGCTAATGGCTTGTTCTCGTTTGAACGGAATGGCAGAGGCTTGGTCTCGTGGAGCAACAGATGCAGTGTACTCGCCAGTGGAAGTGTCCCTTAGCTGTGGAAAGCTGGTGATCGTGGAATGTCCGGATTTGGGATTCGTGGATCGTCCCAATGCGCGGTTCGTGGCTCGTTTCGGACTGGCGACCACAGGATGTCCGACTATGTTCGCCACGAGGGACTGCTTCATCATATTGGATGCCTCGCCCACGGCATTCTGCATGCAGGTACTCGGACAGTGGTCCGGGCTGTGAGCCGGGCTGTGAGCCGGGCTGTGAGCCGGGCTGTGAGCCGGACTGTGACCCGAACTGTATAACGGGCTATTGTGGGCATCCATATTGTCCTCGCTGGTGACGATGTAATTCTTTTTCGTTACTATTTTGGATTCACTGGTCACGGGACAGTCACCGAGGTTGCCGTTCGCCTTGCCCGCCCTGCAGGTGCAATGGGCGTCACTGCTGTCGTCGAGGGACAGGTCCGGGCCATATCTGGAGAGGTATTCGAGAATGATGCCGTTGGTCCAGCCGAAGCCCGTTTGATTCTGGTACTCCCCGCCACCGCCACCAAAGCCGAATTTCTCGCAATTGTACTGAAGGAGAAAGCAAGGGTTGGACCATACGAGTACACTGCTAGAAGTCTCATCAGGAATGAGGAATGGGGAATGGAACTCACCTTCTCGAACATGTAGCCCGTTTTGTTGTAGGCCTCGTAGTTGTTCTTCACCCAGCGATGAGCCCAGCGCTCGGACATGGCCCTGGCCTCGGGCGTTGCCAGGTTGTTCAGCCCGTCGATAATCATGAACATCATGGGGGGCCACACGTTGGGGTAGTCCCACTGCTGGCCGGTCTCCTTGTTCATTGTGTTGGGCACTCCGCCGGGGAAGTCGTCCAGATTGTTGCTCTTGATGTAGTTCATCACGCCCCTGGAGATCTTCTCGGTGTCGACCAGGGGGTAGGCGCGTGCCCACAGCGGCGAGAAGTTGGAGGCCGAGAAGTACGGGCGCGGCCTGTTGTTCAGCATGTCGTAGTCCAGCCAGATGCCAGCCTCATCGTTCCACAGGACGTCGCGCACCGCCTTCACGAGGCCGCAGGCAATGTCCGAGTACTCCTCCACCTTGCTGGCGTTGCCTGCCTTGCGATTGAACTCGGCCAGGATCTTTGCGCTGCGAAATAGTATCACATTCAGATCGACCGGCACTATCGACGTCGTCTGGATATCCTTCAGTGTGCCGCGATTCGACCCGTCCCTGGCAATGAACCAGCGCGAGCTAAAGTCCATGCCCGACTCGCAGGCCGACTTGAGCTGCGTGTAGTGACGCTCCTTCTCCGGCTCGCTCAAGAACTCCGCCGCACTGGCCACGTCCTCGCGATACGACTCCGGCCGCGGCCCCGTCGAGTAGTCCTGGTAGTGGTACATGGTGCGACCCTTCACCTGCACCTGGTGCTTCTCCAGAAAGTTGTTGAACTCGGACTCGAGCTGCGGCAGCGACTGGATGGCGTACTTCTCGTCCAGTGTTACGTCCACGTAGGCCTTCATCATGTGTATCAGCATCGGGGGCTGCGAGCGTCCGTAGTAGTAGACGCGTCCGCCGTTCGGAACGAATCCGTATTGTCGCACTATCGAGAGGAAGTTGTCGATCATGCCCCGGGCCGTATCGTGCATGCCACAGTGCAGCAGACCGCGGATGATCCACAGCGAGTCCCAGTAGTAGAACTCGATGAAGCGGCCGCCCGGCACAATCACCGGATTTGGCACGTACACGATGGAGTATTTTTCTGGACTCTCCTTTACCTCGTCCTTCATGCGGCGGCCCAGCACCTTCCACAGGGCGTTGAGTTCCACCCCGAATTTCCTCAGCTCCGGATCGGCGATCCTGTTGGCGAACGGCGGCTCACTCTTCCAGTCGGGCGGTGTCCACTCCTCCAGTTCTGTGCCCTTCTCCAAAAAGTGTTTCTGCAAGCCAAAAAAAAATAAAGGATGGAAATATCGATGCAATGTGCCGAGGCAGAACTGTGTCGAACCTCGACAAACATCTGCAGGAACTGGAATGAACCGTCGTTCTTGCGGCAATTTCGGAACAGCTCATAGTCGCCCAGCATCCTCTCCGGCGGATACTTGCTCTTCATGTCCACGAACGTCTTGCAGTCCGGGAACATTTTCGACCTCTGTACAGCGTCGAGCAGCGGCCCAGAGCAGTAAACAGCCCTGGTGACACAAAATATTTTTCGAAATGGAATGGGACCGGCATTCGATCGGATGCGATCAACACTCACCGATTAGCCGCGCCGAGCACCTGTGGCCCACACCGGCACAGATTTTGCGGCATTTTGGACAACGAATTTTGTGTGTTGTGTAGGTTTTGTGGTGCAATGCCAGATCCGAATAAACATACACATAGACAGACATTGACCGACTGTTCAAAGGCGACCCTGTCCGGTCCGATCCGGTCCGGTCCGGTTCCGAGGCATAAATCAAAACAGCAGAGCAACATCTATTATATTGACCATTAAAGCAAATTTGTCGACATTTGCCATTAAGAGTCAACAATGTTCGGCCATAAATCAGCGTAAATAGACAGGAAGCGCCTTCTTCTTAGAATCTTGCTGCAAAGCGAACGAATGCTGCCCCTGATTCCGTGCCACACATTTATTTTAAATTACCATAAATGTTCTTTGCCCTGCCCCCGAAGCCGCCCAAATCCAGAGCCCAAAACCCAAAACCCGAGATGAACAAGAGGAACTTTGCCTAAAAGCTATTGGCCTCTGTGTCCATTTGTAATTTCCAGACAATTTATCAAACCAGCGAAGGGGAGAGCTGCCACCGAGGGCAGGCAACATTTCGTAATTCGTACATTTTGGCCAAAGGGAAAGGGGAAGAAGACCGAAGACAGGGGCCAGAAGTCGGAATTGAAATGGCGCAGAAAATGCGCTTCAAGTGGCCATGGCGGCCACGGCCATGGCCCTGGACATTCGACATCGGATGGATGAAAGAAAACTCAAGTAAAATAAAATTCTTCGATTCCTGGACAATCAATTGATGGGGGGGGCAGATGACTGAGAAAAGAGTGGGAAGAAAAGCAAGTGAAATCAGCCGCGGGCGCGGCACTTCATAAATTCCATTCCATCCTTCAGCTGAATGCAACTTTTTGGCATCGGCATCTTTATGAAAACTTTGCCAAAGAATACGAGAGAAAGCACGGAAATTAGTCATGTCGCATTCGCATTCTCAGTCGTCTGCAAAGTTTCAATTGAATTTCGGGTGAAAAAAAAAACAAAAAAAATGCGCTCCAGCTTAAACTTTTAGTCAACGTTGTTTCGAGGGGAGAGTTCCGGCAGCAGTAATTAATTTTACATATGTGAGCATCAGTGGCAGACTCCACTCCATGTGCTGACACTTGACCGCCCCCCAGCCCCCAGCCACCAGCCCACAGAGGCAGGAATAAACTTAATGAAAGCTCAGGAGCAGCCATCACCCGCGGCGTCATCCTCAACGGCAGGCAGCCTTATCCTCATCCGCAGCAGCCAGAGCTAATTGAGTATTCTTCCTTTAAGTGGACAGCCGCCGGCGCACTTCAGCCTCATTTGCAAGTGCGAGAACAGTGGCAGGCATAAATCAATAAGTTGCATTCGCCTTTAAATTAATTAAAATGAAATTCCCATAAAAAACTCCAAGAGGGAGTGGTGTGGTGGCGACATGTAAAAACATTGCAGTTCTTATTGCTGTTGCTGTTGCTCTGGCTGTTGCAGTCTGTAGTTTGCAGGGGGAAGCTCAGATCGCTGGCAGAGTCTGAGTGCGTGACTGAGGGCAAGTCCTCCTCTGTTGACAGCAATCAATCAAAAATTGTAGCTGCCTTAGCACCAGCTCTATAGCGAGCAAAACACTTGCAGAAAAAATGGAGTACACACTGTAATACACTGCAAGAACACACAATAAAATGGGCAAAAAAAGAATCCAAATTATATATTTGAAAATATTTGAATAAACATCTCCCCGTGGGATCGAATGGATCATATTTTTTGCAAGTGCTTTGTATATCACGTCGGGATAGAGACCCCCACAAAGAGTGGTGGCATTGCCATTGTGTGGGAGGGGTGGGTGTGGCGGAGGCGGAGCATGATAAATTGTCAACACTCTGACGTTTGTCTGCAGCGATTTAAAAACTACTTAAAATGTAAATGTTGTTTCGCTGTTGCTATTGTTGTTGGCCGGCTTTTGTTGCCACCGTGTTTGGGTTTTATGTACACGTCGCGCAGCGTACGAGTAGACTGCGAAAATCATGTTGTTGACTTTGAAAAAATATGTGTGAAAATGCGCCATTGTAAATAACAGAACATAAACGCGAGTGCTCTGGATAGAGGAGTGTGTTCCTGGATGAAGCAGCCAGCAACTGTCCCTGGCTGAGGGGATAGTCCCTGTCTAAGGGGGTGACTCCCTGGTTGACTCCAATGCCTGAGGGAGACTGATGACATGGCAATGTCACCAGCAGCATCAGCAGCAACATCATCAGGAACAGCAACAGCAACAGCTACAGCTCCAACCTGGCTCCTAGTTCATACACTGTATGAGAGATGGCACGCCTCTGTGATTGCATTTTTACACTTGTCAGTGGGGGTTTGCTCTGCTGTTCTGCTGTTCTGCTGACTAGTGTAGGAGAGTGTCTCTGTACAGTAAGCAACCGCAGACACATCCTGCTCAGTGCTCTGTCCTCTGTGCTGTGCGAATCCAAATGAGTTATAAACTCTCTTGTCAAAATACTTGACAATTGATTAATTGAAATTGACTTTGAAAGTAAGTTGATAAGCAGTTCCCATACGCACACCACCCACCCACCCGCACGCATGCACGCACACTCATGAAGGGTGTGAGGAAGTTGAGGGAAACGGAAGAAGCTGTCAATCAGTCAACCCCTCCCTGGAGCAGCAGCAGCAGCAGCAGCAGCAACCATGCATCATTTGTTGATGAGCTAAACTTTGACCAAGAAAAGTCGAATCGGACATAGGGGGCAAAGGACAGGGGGGGTCAGGTCAGGCCACAGACAGACGCTCGAATTAAGCAAAAGTCTGGTTAAACAGAAAAGTTTTGGCCCTCGATAAACATCTGCTGGGCGGGCAGTAGCTGTACGTCCTCTGGCTCTGGCCAGCAACACAACAGGATGACAACTTAAATTGTTAGTTGGCTGATAAGCCACCAGTCGTAGCAGACACCACCCCTTGAGCTATCACCCCCCTGCTGCTGCTGCTGCAGCAGCAGCCTGTGAGTGGGCGTATATAACATTTTTATTTATTTCACTATTTTTTATATGCCTGTCAGGGGGAGGATGGGAACACGCGCCACATGCCGAAACGACAAACAAATAAATAAAATTCCACATTTTGGGTCAGCGGGGGAGTGTGTGTGTGTGTGTGTGCGAGAGTGTGTTGAGTGTGGTGGTGGTGCTGCTGTTCTACAAGTCTATTAACTTGTGGCGCTTATCTTATGCTGACAGCAAGTTTTTCACTTGGCCAAAGTTTAGCCAAGGAAACGCCACTTCCTGAGGGAAGGAGCAGCAGCTCCGATGTCAATCATTTGTTGATCATTTTTCTCCCGCCGCAAAGTGAATGTGAATCCAGGCCTATGCATAATGTATCGCCTCCACTTTGCAGATGACCGAACCCCCCCGAAGTGGGAGTGGGAGCAAAGCAGAGTAAGGATATATACTCTCTAACGATAAATTGCATTCCCTGCCAGCAGCAACTTCAACGTGAAGGGGAAAAAGTAAGTGCCAGCCAAAGGAGCAGAGAATTGGCAAAACTTTTGGATTTGCTGCTGGACGATAAGCGAGGGAATTGGCCAAGCTTGGAGCCCCCTCTCGTTTGCTATTCCGCCATTCATTAAATGCGACGCCAGAAAGTTGCAGCTGCTGGGAGATATTTATGAACTGTCCGAATGCCGGACAACCCGAGGATGACACCTCCCACATGGCCAGGTGACCAGGTGGCCAGGTGGCCAGATGGCAGCTACCTTTTTCAATAAACGTTAAGCATTACGGTTATTAGTTTCAGGTCGGGGACATGAAAAACTTCTGCTCGAGTTGAGCAAAGTTGTCTCTGACACTGTTGCATCCACAGCAACAGCAGCAACAGAGGCAACAACAACATTGTGTCGACCAGTGGGGCACAGAGCTTTGCTGATGCTATCTGGATGATGTTATAGTTGTTGCCACACTGTCACAGCAGCAGCAGCAGCAGCATCAGCATCAGCGGCAGGAGCAACATGTTGTTGAAGCTGATAATTCTGTCGCTGACTGGTTGACTTTGTTGCAATTGTTAGGACAGGCGCCACCTCTGGTACGCAGCGAACCTATGGAAATTACGAATGCCGTAATGCTCCCCTGGAATGCTGTCCAAGTCCATTACATGCACAGAATGTGCAGCGCTTTTGCAGGTCCTTGCAATGGTGACAGCAACAGAAAACGCCACAGCAACAGCAACTTATTAACGCGCAATCTGAGCTTCGCAATTGACCGCAACAGCAGGATGTGCTGCAGCAGTAGAAGGAGGAGCAGAAGCAGCCGTAGAAGTAGCATCAAGTGCAGCAGAAGCGTTGACGGTGACGATGACGGCGACGGCGAGGACGACGACGACGACAGACGGAAACGGAAACGGCAAATAAACGCACGAGCGCTGACGTGCGGGCACCAGCGTGTCAGCGCTCTTGTCTCTGTGTTCGTGTGTGTGTGTGTGTGTGTGTAAGCGTGCACTTGTTTGCATGCAACGTGGCAACATGGCAGCGACAATAGCAGCAGTAACAGTAACTGCAATGGCAACGGGCATTTATCTGGCTCCCCAGACCAGACCAGACCAGACCAGGCCAGACTTGCCACGCCCCATCGTAATACATTGCGGCTGGGATGTTGCATGTTTGTGGGCGCTCGCCTGCGTTTGGATTTTTTTCTTTTGCATACCCATTGCCTCTGGCTTGGGTAGGCTGGGCATGCAGATGGACAGATGGAAATTATGATAAAATACAGACAAGTTGCAGGCTCGAGTTCTCTGCGAAAACTGTTTCGACTGTAAGACCAAACTAAAATGAAATTCTATCTCTCTAGAGGATATTTATTATTCCACACCCATTCATTCATTCATTGCTTTTTTGTTTCGTTTGCAGCGGCGCCATCGTTCGCATGCACGGCAAGGATTTCTCTGCTTAATTTGTGGTTTCCAACCAAACAGAACAACGAGAAGCGATGGACGCGGACACCGAACGATGGATGGAAGGGGGGATGGCAGATGGCAGATGGCGGGGAGTGACTGGGGTCGAACCAGCACCATGGAGGGAGAACCAGGCTAACCAACTGGTCAGCCAGCGGCAATTGCAATTGCAATTGAGGTTGCAGTCGCACGAATACGTGTATTCCGGGAAAGCCTTAAATATGATTATGCCATACACAGCGCACAGCCTACAGCCTACAGCCAGAGGCGTGGTCGGTCAAGGGGAATATTTGCCATATATACCCCTGCCACTATGTCACTGTCGTGCTGAGACTAGAGAGCACCGTGAGCAGGGTACACATATTTTGGCTTTGGGCCCATGCATCTTCGCGGGAATCTCTCGCGCTGTGGCACACAAATTTCCACGAACTTGATTTAATTGTCACACATTACGGGACCACAATTACATAGAAGAATGCGGCAAAAGCAGTCGGCGGAAACGGCAACAGTAATAGCAAATAATAGCAAAATCAACAACAACAAAAACAGAGGGACTGGACTGTGCTGTGCTGTGCTGAGCTGATGGGCTCCACCTTTTTTGCCCTTTCCGCTTTGTGTATATAAAATGCGCCATTTGCAATTGTAGTTTATTTTAATACCGCAATTAGTGTGTACATACTGGTCGGAGAGGCCACCGGTCAGAGTGGGGGGGTTGCTGTGGGTTGTGTGGTGGCATGCACGCAAACGGAATAACGGGGGGCATAAGGAGGAGGAAAGGAGGTGAATTGCTCGCCGCTGTCATGTTGCCACACAATTTGAGGTGCACCGATGCTGCCGCCGCATAGGTGATGCCATTATCGTTAGCCATTGCATAAATATGCCACGAAACACACACACACACACATACATAACTATTTGAGAGATTCGCTGATTACCGGCAGGCGGACATCTCCATTGGCCGCTTGAAGGGCTCTCCATCTGTCTGGATGGGTTGCTGGCTGGGCTGCTGGATTGCTGGATGCAATCAATTGCCGCGTGATGTTAATTGATTTTTAAGTGGTGTACTATGGCTAACTGCAATCAGAATACGCGCCAGGTGACGGACACATGCATTATTATATGGCAGCATCGAATAAAAACCGCCGCATTAAGGTAATCAATAATAAAGGCGCACAGGGAGGGCAGCTCGACTGTGCTCTACCCTGTTCCTAAACGGAAGCTAATCGATTTAGCTTGCTGGTCGATGTCGATGTCAATTGGCCTCCTCTGGATCGTTATCTATTCTGGCAGGTTAATTGATTTGGCCGAACTTTGTGTGGGTTCGAAACGGGTCGAAACTAATCCCCGATTGATTTCGATTGTTAAACACGCTTCACCGAACCTGACAGAGTTTCCGCTTCCCGTCCCCTCCATCCGGTATAATCACATTTAATGTTGAATGCACTTCATTTTTTGCCCCAACTAAATGCCAATTAAAATTCGTAATTATTTTTTAATGGCATTTTGTGGTCAATATCCGATGAATGATTGGACAGTTGTAAGTACCAAAAGGGCGTTGAGAGTTGTGGTGGTGGTGGTCCGTTTTGGGTTGGTAAGGCAATGTTGACGGGATGCCGTCATGACGCTTCACATTTATGACGAGCAAATGGCCAATATCAATATCAATTGCATGACTTGTCAAACTGGCGCCCTGGTCTGAAAGTGCCCTTACATGTCCAAGGCAAGGCAAGGCGTCATCGTCATCGTCATCATCATCGTGTAAGAAGAAACCCCCAATGGAATGGTGGTAAAAATTACAAGCAATTGCAGCACAAGTACAACAAACACCAAAAGTACAAGGAATTGCAATAAGAGCCTTTGTCGAGTGCCGGAGCCAGTGGCCCTGCCGCAATTGACCTGCTCAATGAAATTCAAGCAATCATCACCATCAACATTTCGTTTCGTTCCGATTCGATTCGATTCGATTGGACACGCTACTACACGCCACCGCACATGCCGCAAGTGACAATCATTTATATTTAATAAACAACTAACGCATGCATGGGAGGAGGTTAGTTTCTATTGTTGGCCAGGGCAGCGGCAGCGGAGACGAGCGGCCATTGATTGCTGGCAGTCGTGGGATGGTTACAGGTAGCATACAAAACGCCCAGGAGAGGCAGTAACCCAAACGAGTACGACAAATACTATATAAATATGTACAGGAACAACATGGATGGATGACTGACTAGTTTTTAGGAACAGAAGCAGTTGATACTCTTGCTACGAACAAAGCATATAGTGACGTCTTCTCGGCGTTACATAAAGCTTCGCAATATAACAATACCGTATATTGAAGGGTATGCCAGACCAGTTACAACAACCACCGGATAACAAGTGAGCGAGCGGCCATTGTCTCTGGCCCGTTAGAAATTGTTTATCATGCATTTTGTTCGATTCAGAGTCTGAATAATGCAGCAGGTGTATGGCAGTGGGAGAAAGAAAGAGACACAGGCAAATAAATAAGCGAGCATGAAAGCGACGAGGGAGGAGGAGGAGGAGTAGTAGCAGAAGAAGAAGAATGGGGAAAACAGGAAAAAAGGCACAAACAACAGTGCCAGACACAAAACCATTCTGTATCGCTTTGGGCGGCATTCAAATTGAATATTGAAAGCATCGAGCACAAAACTGCCAAACGCTTGAATTATGCATTAATGATGTCGATGTCTCTGTCTCACTGCCATAGTGGACAGCGCCAGAAGCAAAGGGGCAGGACAGGACAGGACATGGCATGGCGGGGCAGGGGCCGCAAAAGAAGGGTTTTGTCCGTCGTCAAAGCGTGGCAGCAGCAGGAGCAGAAAATAGACAAGAACAACGGCACCGCGTCCATCGCCACTGTTGTCCACTTTCCTTATCGCCTCTGGCTGCTTATTAATTTTTTATGCGTCTGCTATTTTTATGCACTAGCCGCAAGCATTTTATTTTCTCTAACCTCATCTTTCAATAGTTTTCCTTTCGTGTGTACACACTCCTCCTGTGCTGCATTGAAAGTCCAATGATCCCTATCGATAATCCAATGTCGATCAGCAGCTTCAACAGACCAGTGTTGTTAAACCACGCAGAGCGATATTCACAACGGCAGGAAAAAGTTAATTACCAGCATTTTGCGCAGCAAAGCAAAAGCGCATGCTGTAGAAGATTATCAGGGCCAAAAATAAGGTACGGGCTGGACAATCAAAGTGGTGTGGTAGTAGGTGCAAGCGATGTAAAACGCATTACATACCGCAGAAACCACCATCACCCACGCGGGCGTATGCCGACCGCAACATGTTGTAATGCGTGTGGTCCCTCCTCTCCACCACAGACATCGCAATCGCTTTATCAACATTTGCATGGGACAGCAGCACCAGCACCAGGACCGGACCGGACCAGAGCCTCGCCCCTATGCACAATGATGGCCAAGGATTTGGGCGGCGCACGACCAGGCCAATACTTTAAGCCCATATGGCGGAGTGCTGCAGTGCCAAAGGAGAAACTTAATGTCAGCACGCTAATCTGTCACTCACTGGGAATGGAATGGGACTGGCGCAGAGATAGGACTGGGATCTGCGACATGCTCTGGCTACTTAAGGAGGAGCACTATGGTTGCGCTTCGCTCCGCCTCGCTGCACAGGAGAGCGTGGGGTGAGTATCTGGAGTATCTTGGGGATGATGACGATGGTGCAACAATAATGCCACAAAAGCAACGTCGCATCCTTTGAAATGACAAAAATTTGTTGCTTTCAGTGGAGCTTGACGCGCTGCTTGACTTGCCATCAGACACTTGCGGGACCACAAGCCATCACCAGGCATCCAGATCAGCCCACGCCCTCTCCTGGGCAGGGGGGAGAGGACAAGCAAGCCCAACGCGCCTTATCAACTATGCACGGCTTTGTCTCTAAACGATTGTCTGCCTGTGCCCGTGCCTGTGCTCTCCTCGGTGGAAACCCAACCTGTTTTCTGTGTGTTCGCCAGCATCAGCACCAGTACCAGTGCCCCAGCGTCAGCGTCTTTTGTTGCGCTTAATGAATTTTACGTAAATTTTACGAGCGCTGATTTCTGCCAGAGAGAACACTCCCCTGCCACACCACTACGGGGAGGACAACCACCCACCCAGGCTATTAATCTACACTTTAGCGCAAGCACCAGCCCCAGGACCGCCCTGACAAGGGGGGCAAGACGACTCCTGCTGCTGCTGCTGCTGCCTTCACACTGCGTGTATGCCTGTGTGTTTGTGTGTGTGTGTGTGTGAGTATAATGACAAGTTCAACAACAACTTAGCATTGTCTTCTTCTGACAACGACGAGGACGACGTGCTCCGACATTTGTTTGCCCAAGTTATGCAAATATTTTTATAGTCAAGACGTTTTTGTTTAATTGCATATTTTGACTCGAATTACGCGTGCCATAAAGCAAGGATCTGGAAAATTACCACAACCATGGGTGAGGAGAGCAGGAAGACCCCCAACGCACCGGAACCGTATGAGTACTTTTTGTCTAGCCCTGGAATGCAGTTTGACAGAAAGTACTTTCGAGTACTCTCTCTTTCTCTCTCTCTTGTCACACACACACACACACACGTACACACAGTGACGGCACACTTTCTAATTTCTTCGTCGAGCATCGCAAAGGGTTTGGAAAATCATGGAAAGGAAATTTGACGTAATGCTATCCAACGAGGAGAAAAATGGAGTCGTTACCACCATTCACATATCGCCATATGTCCCGATCCAGATACTTGAGCAGCCAAAGGTCAGCCCAGATCCGAAGTTCCACTGCTGCCACTGTGGCAATAAGTTTCAACGCAACGGACCCTACATCGTTCATGTGCGTGCCTGTAAGCGTCGCACCGAGTTGAATGCGGAGCGGACGTCAGTGGAGAATAAACCCAAGCCTAAAATCAGCAATAAGCGCGTAAGCTCTGCTGTTGAATCCGCAATTGATGGGCCCAAGAAGAGGTGCATCACTGCTGAGCCGACTGGAAGCTGCGACCTGGAAATAGAAGCAGTGCCCGTGCCCACCATTAAAAAAGTGTTTACGTGTATTTTCTGCAAGCAGCCTTTCTCCGTCGAGTTTGAAATCGGAAAAATACGTCGACGGTATGCGTGCAACGAATGTGCCACAAAGATCCGGGCCGAAGAGCAGATACGCACATCAGTCAAATCGAAGAATCGGTTTTTGTGTGAGGATTGTGGCATGTTGTACAAACTGGAGGCTAATTTGATGAGACACATGAATATATGCAAGGTGTTGGTCGAAAATCGCACAAAAAATGATTAAATGTATTAGTTATCTTTTTTTTCTCATATCAATAATATATATGGAAAACAATCTATGGAAAACATCCATAATTTTTAGCATAATTGTTCGTTTCTATGTGTTCACCGTATAATTTGTAAAGCCTCTATAATTTATATTAATGCTAAGAGTTTTTTTTTATTAACTTTCGAGTGGAATATATGTTAAAGCAAAAATTGTGTACTATCAGCTTTTAAAGCTGGCGCCCAACATTTCATTTCTTACATATTTTTAAAGATTTGGCCACACTAGTGACTATTTGGTGTTTTTCATCGGTATATTTTGAAAATGAGAAGGTATATTTTCGAGTATCAGGCGGTATATTTTATAAACAAATCCGCGGTCACACTGATCGTGTCGCACGTGTATAATTTGCAAACATTTTTATTTTCAAATATTTACTCCGCTTAAGCTGCCAAAATGAGTTCAGATGAGTCCAGCGACGGGCTGGAGGAGCTCAAAGAGCTGATGGCCGTCTATGCCAAGAATGGAAACCATAAACCTGCCGCCAGAGAGAACCGAAAGAAGGCAGCGGCCCCTGAGTCGTCATATGTGGAAGTGCCCATGGAAAAAGTAATTTTCGGCGACAAGCAAAAGTTTTTGTCAAACCTAGCCAAGTCTGTGGGCAAGAAGTGGAACCCCAGCGATGACGAAGATGCTGCTGGGAGTAAAAACGATGCGGAGCAGTCAAACGCAGGCAAACGGAAGGCGGCCTGGACAGACTCCGACGACGAGGATGTACAGCTGGGCGATGTGAAGCGTCCCACGAGGCACACTGGACCTCTGACACACTTGCGCAAGGATAAGTCATACAAGGAGTATCTGACCGCTCGCTTCCAGCGCAATTTGAACCAGCCCAAGTGGGCGGAAAAGCAGCAGAAGGACGACTCGGGATCATCGTCGGACGAGGAGCTACTGAAAACTGTGGGCTTCATAGATCACAAGGCCAAGAGACGCGAGCTGCGTCCCAAGACACTGAACTTTAAGCGTGTCAAAGATCTGAACCGAGCCACATACTGCGAGGGGTTCGTAACCAGCGTGCAGTTCCATCCCAGCAGCACAGCGGCTCTGGTTGCGGGCGAGAACAGCTTGGCCACCATCTACACGGTCGACGGACAGAAGAACGAGAAGCTGCACAGCATGCGCTTCAAGAACTATCCCCTGCTCTGCTCCCGCATCGCACCATGCGGCACCAAGGCCTTCTTCGGATCTGTCCGATCGCACTTCTACGCCTACGATCTGCTCGAGGCCAAGGAGACCAAGCTCTTCCTGCCAGGCGACATACGCTCAATGCATCGATTTGAGGTCTCGCCCTGCGGCAAGTACATCGCGGTGGCTGGCAAGTTTGGGGCCGTCCACCTGTTGACTGCCAACACCAATGAGCTGCTGCACAGCTTCAAGCAGGAGGGCGCCGTGCGAGGACTGGCCTGGACGGCCGACTCAAAGCGTGTGCTGTGCTGCGGATCCAGCTGCAATGTCAACATTCTGTCGCTGCGACAGAACATCATCGAACACTACTTCATCGACGACGGCTGCATCAACGGACAGTGCGTACAGCTAGCGCCCAATCAACGCCTCCTGGCCACAGGCAGCAACGAGGGTGTTGTCAACGTCTACGACTACGAGAGCGTCTTCGCTTCCAAGACACCGATGCCCGAGAAGCGCTTCATGAATCTGCGCACGGCCATTACGGACCTTCAATTCAATCACTCCTCGGAGCTGCTGGCCCTGAGCTCCAATCTGGCACCGAATGCCGTGAAGCTGGCCCACTTCCCCAGCGCCACCGTCTATTCGAACTTCCCGGACCAGAACGATAACGTGGCCATCGTGAACACGATGGCTTTCTCACCGCACAGCAGCTTCCTGGCCTTTGCCACCAAGGGCAAGCGAGTGCCCCTCTTTAGACTTAAGTACTTCAAGGGTTATTAGCCATCGGCAATGTTCTGTTCCCCCCCATATCGTTCTGCAAGTAAATCCATTTGTATATAGTTACAACGATCATTTATTTCAATTAAAATGTAGACTTCACTTCAATGGAGGGCGAAAGACGTCGCGCTTCTGGGTGTCGTGGATCTTGCCAATGTCGTCGAGCGTCTTGCAAATGTTGTTCGATTGCGACTCGATCCACTGCAGCGAGCTCATGTGGGCATTGAGGATCTTGCCGATTTGTATGATGGGGTCTGTGTGGTCCTGGCCCTTGCTGGCCTCGTTGAGGTTGTCGATGATCTCCTTGAGGTCCTCGGACATCTGCTTCAGCTGGGTATCCAGATTCTCCACCATGAGGAAGGTCTGGTTGCGCTCCACGTCGACCCTTGGCAGGCCGCCGAACTCCTTCTCCAGGGGCGCTAGACTCTCCTCCAGCTCCTTGTGCTGGGTGGCAATAAACTCGAGCTCCTGGTCCAGCACCTGCTGATCGTTCTTCACCTTCTTCACGGCATCGTTGAGTTCGATAATTTTGTGGTTGTTGCTGATGAGTAGCTTGTCCCAGGCGTTGATCTGCGTTGCCTGCTCGGTGAATACTTTTTCCTGCTCCTCAAACTCCAGGGTCCACTTGTTGATGTGCTCCTCCAGTTGGTTGTACGACAATTGTGAAGCATTCGAAACGGCCGCCGAGTCCGTCGTCTTGGTCTCGGTTGTTAAATTGGCAAATGCCCCGCCGGTGCCGACAGCAGGCGCCACCACTCCAGTGAGAGGAGCCACAACAGCGGCTATCGGTGCCGCTGTGCTCTTTGGCGTTGTCGTCAAACCGAGTGCGGGACCACCGATCAGTCCAGTTGTGGGTGCGGCGGCTGCCTGGGTTGGAGCTACCGTAGGCTGTGCCATGAACCCACTTCCAAAGGCTGGCGCTGCAGCTGGGGCGGCAACTGGCGCCACAGTTGACGTTACGCCTGTGTTGGATCCGCCCAAGGGGGTCGATAGCGAAAGTGCTGGTGCCGTGCTTGCTCCAGGTAAACCAAATCCGCTAAAGGGTGGCGGAGCCTGTGCCTTTGCGCTGTCTGCATCTCCGCCACCCATGTTGGGACCGGCTGGACCGCCAAATGAAAATGCTGGCTTTGCGGCGGGAGCAGCGGATGCGCCTGCTACTGGCGCTGAAGTATTCATGCCGAACGAGAACGAACCTGCAGCTGCAGGGGCACTTGTGGTTGTAGGCAGCTGGAATGCCATTTTAGTTTAAGCGCAATATCAAAATTTAATTCTCAAACGAAACACGCCAGATTTAGGGCTAGAAGTGGTCTTACAGTGTTGGAAAACGCTACTTGATCTGTGGTATTTTTTAGCCGCAAATCTTTAGCCTCAATGCGAAATAATTAATCCGCGTACATTCAAAAATCCGAGCCGCCACAGCATTAAAGGTGCATGGAAATTGATTCCAAATCAAAAAGAAAGCAAACATCATTAACGAGAATGCTTTAGTATGTTAACTTCGGGTATCTGTAAGTGGAGAAGCTCCGATAAGGTAACATTTAGGTCAAGAATTTAATTACAATGGCTGCCGACAGTGCAGTGGGAATGCACTTCACCCGAGTGTAGGGTACAAATAACTGTGCATGCTCTGGAGGCATCTTCCCGTGTTTTGTCGCATAGTTTAGGTGGCAAACAGCGCATAATTAAACAACAAAGCGTATAAGAAGCTGCTGTTCGGGCTCTTTGTGATAAGCTGGATCGCGCTGTGAACTGCAAGTCAATCGTTCTCGTACTTGATGTTGATAAGAGTCTCGCTGCTGCCGCCTGCCTGCTGAGATTCGATAGTTCCACTCTGGTAGGAGGTAGGTAGCAATCAGTTGAGTGGAGCACTCCGACAGCAATTCGCCACTTGCCGTGTGTATCCAACCTTCTGTTCCCGCTTGCGCAAGTAGGTTTCTGGGCAAACAGTGTTATCTGGAGTGCCCCAACACCCACTGCACGACCAAATCTATAAATTCGTGAATTCGTACCACAGGCCAGGACTCAGTCATCGCCCATAACTCGGAATGTACAGAACGTCGAGCATATTTTTGGGGACTTATCTCCTGCTGCAGCTGCTGCACGCCGGACTTGGACTCGACAATGGACTCGCACTCACGTAAGCCATCGCGTGTTTATGCCCATAATTTTCATTCTAAAGTGTTTATTTGCAGGCCACCCATGGGCTGGATGTCCTGGGAGCGGTACGTGAATGATATTTCCATTATCTTGGATTTATAATTAAGATTTGTATACTTTTAGTTTCCGCTGCCTAACCAATTGTGAACTGTATCCGAACGAGTGCATAAGGGTAGAACCCAATGAACCTTAGATTATCTTTTCAATTGGCATTTTTTGAAATCCCACCGTGGTCTTTGTTTTCAGCGAGGAGCTGTTCCGACGGCATGCAGATTTGCTGGTGAAAGAGGGCTATGCCGAGGCTGGCTACGAGTACATCATCATCGATGACTGCTGGCTGGAGAAGGACCGCGACAACAAGACCCAGAAACTGGTTGCAGACAAGAAGCGATTCCCCAACGGACTGAATCCTCTTGCAGATCATGTAAGACGGTTATCCAAGTGTTTCCTGACATCGTCGTTACTTGCGTGCACCCCTCACAGATACACAACATTGGACTGAAGTTCGGTTTGTACCAGGACTATGGCACGAACACCTGTGCTGGCTTTCCTGGAGTCATAAAGCATATGCAGCTGGATGCTCAGACCTTTGCCGACTGGGACGTGGACTACGTCAAGCTGGATGGCTGCTATGCCAACATCAGCGATATGGCCGTGGGATATCCGGAATTCGGACGTCTGCTCAACGCCACTGGCCGCCCCATGGTCTATTCCTGCAGCTGGCCCGCCTACCAGGAGGATGCTGGCGAAACGCCCGACTATACGTCCCTGAAGCAGCACTGCAACCTGTGGCGCAACTGGGACGACATCGACGATTCGCTCGAGTCCGTGGCCCAGATCATGGACTACTTTGGCAAGAACCAGGATAGAATCCAACCCCATGCCGGACCCGGCCACTGGAACGATCCCGATATGCTGCTGCTGGGCAACTACGGACTAAGCTACGATCAAAGTAAGATGCAGATGGCCATTTGGTCCATTATGGCAGCGCCACTGATCATGTCCAACGACTTGGCAGCAGTGCGTCCGGAAATCAAGGATATTCTGCAGAATCGGTTTGTTCAGCCTTCGATGATGTGTATGAAGACGTAACCTTGTATTCGCCCTTTCAGTAAAGTGATTGCTGTGGATCAAGATGAGCTGGGCATCCAGGGCCGTCGTATACTGTCGAAAAATCAGATCGAAGTCTGGAGCAGACCCATCACGCCCGTGGTCAGCAACCACCAGCACTCCTATGCCGTGGCCTTTGTCAGTCGTCGCACTGATGGTGCTCCCTATCGAATCGTATTCACCCTCAAGGAGCTGGGACTGCACAATGCCGCTGGCTATGATGTAGAGGACCTCTACGATGACAAAGCCAAGTTCAGCATCTTCCGCCCAGCCAACCAGTTTATCACGCGCGTCATTCCGAATGGCAAGTCCAAGTCTCCGTTGTAAGCTTCAATCTGCACACGCTTCTAATCGCTTGGTCTTCTTGTCTCTTCCCTTTCCCACAGGTGTAACTTTCTACAAGTTTACAGCGCTCTGAACGGGTTTGCCCTTAGCCTTTGCCCCGTTTGCTGATATGCAAATCATCCAATTGCTGCGCCGTATTTGCCATCCAACCATTTCGAATATGCTCTTTTACCAATGCTTAATGTGTACCAATGTTTATCTTTGCGATGGCAAAAGGGGAGCAAATGATTTTTGATAATAAATAATCAGGTTCGAAACCATGTACCGGTGATGATTAATTAATATTTGGATTGCACATTACAGAGTGAGTTGAAATTTGTTATTTAAAGAATGCAAAAAGAGTACCATGGAAAATAATGGCTACTACGTCATAAGAAGGAGTGTCTGGAATACGGATAATTCCCTCGGATATCCTCCCGCTAATATACCCTTAAATACAATGTTTCCAGGCAGGCGAACACAACAAAACTTAGGTAGTGCAAATAGGCTGTAATCTGTGTGTGCATACACAGATATAAACTAAAAACTAAACTAGATTTTCGGTTTTAAGTACAAAGATAACTACTGGTCCATGTGCAAGTTGTATATATAAACTTCGTTGCTCCGAAGTTCGATTTCCTGCATTTTTTATTGTTTTCAAACAATTTATGGTGTGTGTTAGTTTAGTATTGTACTGTATTGTATTGTACATTTATAGGCATAGATTTTTATTACCGACACTAGTTAAGAAGAAGAATGCGCTGGCGTGTTCCACTTGGGTGTGTGGCATAAATAAGGCCCGACTTAATGAAATGTTAATTTTCAGGCGTTGTATAAATAATATATAGATAGGTATATATGTGTGTACGATCTGTGATTGGGCAAAGACTACAAGTTCATTTCGAATCCAAATGTTAAAACGTTCCTTGCAGGGAAAGGAAGAGACCCCTAGCACGCTCTGGTACGAGCGAAAATAGTTACCAACTACAGATACAGATACGAGGGAGGCTAAGTCGAAAGTTATTGTCAAGTTGGACAGCTCCAGAGGCGGAGTAGTAACCAAACCAGAGGGGGCCAGAGGTTGTGGGTTAGTGCACTCCATTGCTAATGGTTGGGGTGCGCTCGTAGGTTCGCCGATGCAGCGAGTCCACATCCTTCAGGTAGTAGGTGCCAGGGAATAGAGTGCCCACGCTGCCCGTAGGCGTGTAGGGAGCCGCATGGTTGTTCTTCTCGCGCACCTCCATCAGGGCTGAAAACTGCTCGGGTGCCACCTTCTCGCGCGAGTTGAGCAGCGGCAGGACGTAGTCCAGCTTGGCCACGAACTTCTCGAATGCCGCTGCATCCTGAGTCACACTGATCGAGTACATGGATGCGGCCAGCCCGGAGCCGTAGGAGAAGACACCGATGCGCTTGCCAACAAGATCTGCCGCCGGCACGCCGATCAGCAGCGATACGAGGCCCGAGTAGACGGAGGGCGTGTACATGTTGCCCACCTGATTGGCCAGCAGCAGCGTCTTCTTGGTCTTGGCCTCGAACACGTCGGCCGATTGCGTGAGGAACGCCTTCTCCACGTCGCGGTCGAAGTAGGTGCCCTCGAGGGTGGCATTGTTGAAGCGCTCCAGTCCGGCGAACTGCTCGGCCCGTTTCCCCTCGCTGGTCAGCAGGAAGTCGTTGAAACTCAGGCGGCCCACCGACTTCTGCACCAGCTTGCAGAACGGCGTGTGGAACAGAATGGCATCGAAGTTATCGAGGCCCACTTTACCGTCTTGCGCCTTAGCCTGCTGCTTCTCGAACTTCTGGCGGTATAGGCGATAGCAGGTGTCCAGGGACGACAGGTAGCACTGGATGGAGAGCTTGCCGTCCACCGTGGGGTACTCGGAGCTGAGGTCTGGCTTGTAGAAGTCATAGGCATGCTCCATGTGCGTGGCCCGCAGGCCTCGCTCGAAGACCAGCGGTGCGTTTGGTCCCACCAGCATGGCGACGGCGCCAGCGCCGCCAGTGGGACGCGCTGCGCCCTTGGCATATACAGCAATGTCCGCACACACGGCCAGGGCATAGCGTCCGTCCCAGCTGGACGATTCGATCCAGTTGATGGCATTGAAGAGCGCCGCCGTGCCGCCGTAGCACGCGTTTGTGGTGTCGATGCCCTCGATGTCGGTGTTGCCGCTGTCCACGAACAGCTGCATCAGCACTGACTTCACCGACTTGGACTTGTCCACGATCGTCTCAGTGCCGACCTCCAGCCGGCCAATCTCCGTGTGCTTGATATGATGCCGTTCCAGCAGCCTACTCACAACCGTCAAACACAAGGAGTTGACATCCTCGCGGTCCGAGCAGAAGCCCATCTTCGCCTGGCCCAGGCCGATTGTGTACTTGCCCGCGGAGGCGCCATCGAACTGCTCCAGTTCCGTTTGGTCCACATACTGTGAGGGGAAGAGCACCTCTATGGCGCGTATTCCAACGTTTTCGGGCCAGTTTGTTGCCATTTTGTTTTATTTGTTGGTTTTTCTTTGTCTTCTTGTTTTTTTTTGGGGTTCCTGAGCTCTGCAAGGAATAGAAAAGAGGGTGGGGAAAAGGTTATTGACTGAAATCGAATGGGGATCTCCTATCCACAGGTCCAATTTCCATTGCCACTGTGTTGGAAAACTTTCACCTCTCGGAAATTCTGCGCAATGCGGTGTAAACGGTTTCGAATTAAATTAAATGCGCTGCGACTTACAAATTGGACGAGGGCAAAGCCAACTTGTTGCACGCTCGAGCTGCGACAGACGTGTGTGTGCCGACCGCTCAGGGCAGTGGCTGAAGAAGTCATCAAAGTCGGAGACGGAGACCAGCAGCAGCGACGGCGACGGCGACTGCGCAACAGTGGGGCCAAAGCTGATGATTTCCCTGGCTTGAATGTGAATGAACAGACAGACAGACAGACAGAGAGTGAGAGAGAGAGAGAGAGAGACACAGTAGTAATCAGGTGGAGAAAGTTTCCCCTCGCTCAACCAAACTTTGAACAAGAGAACACTAAACCAAACCAAAGGCAGCAGCCAAAACAAGGCAAAGTAAGCCACAGCCAAAATGCACGCATCACAGAAATGTAAGTCGGGGCTAAGACAAGCCCAAGTTATTTCCACCAAAGGGACAGCCAAACAGACAGACAGAAGGGGCGCGGATGATGCTGTAGGACAGGTTAGAGGAGCGCCGTCGCAACGCCTTCTTCTATGTAGGTCATATCCACAAATGGCTCTCCCTCTCGCACTCGCACACGCTCTCCTCTCTCGGCTCTCCGCTCTCTATTGTATAACTGATAAGAGAATGATGACCAACCGAACCACGAAAGAAATTGATTGACATGTTTACCGTTATTGTTAGCACCTGCTGGCCACACAGAAATCGAACTTTTCTACGTTTTCACTTTTTCGTGTGTGTGCCTTTGTCGGGTTTATTTTGGATATTCTCTGTGTGTTTTTGCTGTTTGCTGAAGCGCCAAACGCGAAGCTCACTCGAACGAATCTCTCTGTGGACTGACGGCGATCAAGGCGCTCCACTGCCATATGAGGCCAGCGCCATCCGTTGAGTGCCTGGGGGCACTCGGCGTCGCGTTGTAAGTCAATGCCAAGTGCTGCCAGAAAGCTCTTTGGGCGAACAAGTAGCCGATCGTGCATAATTACGGAAATATTTATCATTTATCGCTTAGAGATATGTATAGCCTGTGGAAACCGCACGCACGGGTTGGGTAGAGAAGCGGGTTCCGTCGTCGCCTTTTGTACTGTTGCGATGGGGGGATAAGATCAAAGCGACCCCTGATAAGCCACCGCAGACGGAACAAAGCCATTTCCCCAATAAGTAGTCGGGTTTATTGTATTCCACAATAACTAAGGATCACCCGTAGCGGACAAGGTCCAACAACGTAGGGCAATGCTATGGAAATGGATGCACTGTTTATGCAATGGGGAGGAAGGCAGTTCTGGCTCTGTGGGTTTATTTTTAGCCCTCAAACTTTGGAAACTTTGGAACTGTAGTATAAACAAAGACAATTACTCAGCGAGAAATGTGTGAAATAAATGGGAATTCCTGCCCCCTTTGCATACACACTTAGCTAATTGCTCTGCCCACTTGAGTCATCGCTACATTTGGCAGATCAGGCCACCGCCACATCAGAGACAAGTCAAAGGTTACGCTGCCAGCGCACGTGTGGCTATAAACTGGGCGATAAGCAAACTTTTTGGGGGCACGTTATGAAATAGTATCAGATCAAAATGAAATTCTCAGACAGATGACACGAACATTTAAAGCTGAAGAGTCCAATTAATGGGGCTGAGGGCAGGCGAAACACATGTCACTGGGTTGCACTCCTTCTTCTTCTTCTTTACTGAACTGGACTCCTGCAACCAGGCATTTCCTTCATCGCTCCATCCTCCATTTCAAATGCCGACTTCTGGTTACATCAGCGGGCGACGTGTTGCTCGCATCGCCTGTTGCCCCGAACACGCACTTCCTGCACTTATGGGCTACCTGCTCACTCACTTGTGGATATGCTGGTCCGAAGCGTGTGTATAATTTAACTAAACTAATCTTTTCTAATTAGGCACTGGCTAAATGCAAATACTTTGCTTTGCGCTGCGCCGCACGGCAGTGCTGCAGAGCGCGCGCATGTCAGCTGTTCGCCAACAGCTGTTAGCCGGCGAGCATTTGGCAGCACTGGAACCCATCACGTGAATCTAATGTGGTATTTGTGTGTAAATTGTCACTTTTTTCGCGGCCAGTTTTCACCACAGACTCTTCTCTTGCTCCGTTTGCACGTACGTATTTGTGGGTGGCGGCGGTTAATTTGCGCTTGATTTAAGCAGATCCAAATTTTAAAACGCACAAAAACCCCTTCAGTGTCTCTCCATCTACCAGTTCGAGTGTAATAGCCACTAAAAAGTAAGTGAATGTGAACGGCAGCCGCTTTTCCACGTCCGCGGGTGTGTGAAAAACTTGTGCAACGAAACACTCGTGAAAAATTCTGTTATTTCATCGGCGCAGACCTGCTGACCGTAAATTGGCTGAAACGTAAATTGCAATATTGGCATTTGTGCAAGTGAGAGTAAATCTTTTCCGATGTGGGCTGCTGCACTACTACATATTTGTCGTGAAAATCAAGTGACCCTGAAAATTAGGCCTCCACAAGTTGTTCATCCATTTGCCTCGTTGTTCGGTGGCTCTGCTGTGGCCAAACATTTCCTGATTGATTGGGATATATCTGGAAATATCCATGTGGCATCCGCGTGGGCGGAACAACAAGAAATATGTAGAAAATGTTTTGGTTTTTGTATTGAAAACCCGTGAGCAGAAAATTATCGATCGAAAAACTGTCATGTGACTGTCATACCAAACAGCTGACGACAAAATTTTACTCACCACGGCTGAGTGTCGCTGTGGTGACAAGAGCGAAAGAGAGAGAGAGAGCGCCGCTCAGAGGGACTAGATTGCTATATCTCTCTTGCTCTGGGTAAACAAAATTTAAAGAAAGAAAAACTGGCGCCTAGCTAGAATTTGAATTATTTTGGGGGAAACTGAAATAAAGCACGTACCATTTGATTAATTGAATGAATTTCCGCTAGGAAAACTGCATGGCATGTCTGTGCCACATGTACATATATACAAACTCTTTATATGAGGCATATCAAATGGACTAATATCCATATGCGTTTGTGTTCTGTTCTGTGTGTTCCTTGGAACCACAATAAATAGTTAAATTGCGTGCCGCAAGGACCTTGACTGCGCTGACCAGATATATGTAAACTTGAAACTGAAAGTCAAACTTGCTAGTATTTGCGCCCCGGGACAATAAAATAGAAAAATAAACGCATGCGATGAGAGATATTGGGTAGGCGAATGACCAAGAACAGCTGCTAGATTCCAGCGTGTGTTTATCTGTGGCCTTATCCTCGTCACCATGGCACGCTTCCCGCTGCCCACTCCACGCTCAGCAAGGGAGCCAGGCACATTATTATTAATTAATTTGGGCGGCGGTCACCGTCACCCCCCCCCACCGTGCTGGGATATTTGCACCATCATCAAAAGTTATCGCCGTTGCCTTCGTCATCGAGTCGCTATTATTGCAATTTCCTCCCGTAGTGTCTGTGTGGACTACCCCAATGGTTGAAAGAGTCCTCTCTGGTGGCCCCTGGCCTCACCCTCCATTAGCGCCAGCCGTTGGCCAGTCAGACTGTCTCCAGCGCGATGGCGACGCGCTGACTTGCCCCCACCTTGGGGGCTGTCAACATCATTTAGGTTCTGGGCCCCACGTCACCAGTACAGCATGGAAGCATAACTCTCACTCCACAAACTCTCTCCACCATCGCTAAAAATAGACCTGCATATGTGTTGTTGCGATATCCGTTTCCCGTTTCCCCGGTTGTCTGTTGCCAGGCTCGTTGTTGTTCCTCCTCCTCCTGCTCCTCCTCTCTGGGCTGAGGACAATGCACTGCCTTGACTTGAGTGGTATTTATGTTTACGTGTCAGGAGCAGGAGCAAAAGCAATAGGCGGAGCTGTGGCTTTGCCCGGAGGAGGAGGAGGCGCTGTTGTCATTTCTTGTTCTCGTGTTTGTTTCGTGTCTCTTTTTGAAGGCCATCGGCGTAGTTATGTAATGATAGTGGGCCACTAGGCCGGAATTGGGCAAAAGTTAGATTTCTATCTATCTCGTGGCGTTTGCTGTGTGATTACTCATACGCCCTGCCGCCCAGGAGGAGGTGCAGGGCGACTCCAGCGCAAGGAGTCGGCGACACTTTCCCAAATTGAACACCCGCTTTGGTTTTGACTCTGGCACGGGGCATGGGGAACCTGCTTCGTCATCGATTCATTCGGCTTATCGCTCGGCTAGAGTCGGCTGCCAGCCAGTTGGAGTCCATTGTGCCGGCCAGGCAGCGTTCACTTTGCAGCGGTCCCTCGACGAGTGCGCACGGCCATGAAGTCGCTGGGAAAAAGCGAAATACTTGTGAAGCGGAAGGAAAATGCCTAAAATTCTTTACCGCCTTCAAGTGGAAAATTTCCTGACGATTCTGTTGAGACGCGAAGAGTGCTGGGATCACAGCAAGTGTTCTTTTGTATGTGTAAGCAATCGAAGGACTTGGACAGAGCGATAGACAGCCTGGCAGCCGCTGACTGGCGCTGGCCTGTCTGGCGCCTGTGTTGGGTATCTTTGTCTGTGAATACGGGGGGAGTATCCGGAAGTTTCGTACACTTGTGGGGATTCGGGAAAGTGCATTTAAACGGTCGATCGCATCGCAATTATTCCAATTGCCGCAACAGAGGCTCCTGGCGGTCTGAAGGCCAGAAATAAATAAATTTTGTATTGCCTTGGACTTTCGAGGACATGCAATCGATACGTCAAGTTACATAAAATATTTGAACATCCTTTGGGGAGAGCGAGAGAGGCTACCGTTCCCTAATCGATTTACTAAGGTCACTCGTTTTTCACTCTATTCACACAGCCATCAAAATGATGTCCGAATACTGGATTATCTCGGCGCCAGGCGAGAAAACCTGCGCCCAGACATTCGACACGATGAACAACCTGACCAGCAAGCAGCACAACCTCTGCAATAACTACAAGTTCCATATACCCGACCTGAAGGTGAGTGCCAACGCTAACCCTCCTCTGGAGAGGAGCTTTCCGAACACCGAACACCTAACTGATGATTGAATGAGTAGGTGGGAACGTTGGACCAGCTGGTCGGCCTGTCCGATGATCTGGGAAAGCTGGACTCGTATGTGGAGCAGATCACCCGCAAGGTGGCCGTCTATCTGGGCGAGGTGCTAGAGGATCAGCGCGACAAGCTGCACGAGAATCTGCAGGCCAACAACAGTAAGTCGTTTGTCACACAATAAACTATTTACATATATTGAAAGTGCTATAGATACATAGATATTTAGCTCACTCAGTATAGATTAGTCTAGTAACTAGCCTAGTGCCGTTTAGCGTTTAGTTTAGCATTTAGTTTAGTTAACGTGGTTAGGCGATGCCTGTTCCGAATCACGAATATTGTTTTGAAATTTGTTCTTTAGTTATTTCTAAGCAGAAGTAGAACCGGAATGCAATGCTCTCTCTCTCTCTCTCTCTGATACTCTATAATCTAACCATATATTATAATATATTTAGTTTATCTACGATATTCTACTTTTTCTACTAACAAATGAGATTTACAATTTTCCAATTACAATTTGCGGCAACATTCCGATATTTCAATTAAAAAGCTCTCCTCCCCCCCTAACTATGGAATGTTTTTTAATCTGTCTATCTCCGTATGTCCCTGTTTTAAGAATTCCAATTTGACTAACACGAAAATCTACTGTATTTTAATCACATACAAAATATGTCTATCCATATATCTTACCATATACATATATATATATATACTCGTATGTATGTATGTATCTACCTATAATATTTACGTTTTCTGTAGTTAAACGTTAAAGTGAGAAGAAACCCAAAACGAAAAGAGAGAGACAGAAAACAGAACAAGATTTAAAAACTAATCGAATTTCAGCTAAAACCTTTTGAGGTTCTACTATATCTAATTTGTTAGAGTTCGTTCAATATGCTATTTTGTTTTTTGTTTTTCAACATTTTTATCATTTTCATTTTACTTCTGGATTTTACTTGATTTTTAGTTGATTAGTTATGATTGTGTTTCTTATGATTTTTGGATTGATTTTTGTTTAACTCATGAGCACAACCATTCACCACAAAAAAAAATCAAATAAGTAACGATAATCGATATAGTAGGGCGCTATAATGATATAGGGCCCCGCCAACCCGCCTCAAACAACAATGGAATTAAAGTCTACACTTGCGGAGAGAACGATTAAAGACCATCCAACGCGTATCTAAAATGTAATGGAATGATATCCTTCGTTGTTTATTTTATGTTGCATTTGTTGTACATTTTAATATCAATCTATATATAACACACACACACACACACACACACCAGAGGGAGACACACACAGATACAGAAAAACAACAGTAAAAAAACGAACTGTTTTCGGTCAGGTCACTCCGATGCTCCGCCAAGGACACCTCCCTACCCACACCATAACACACTCCTTGCCACAGAAGAGAACATATTGAGTACAGTGAACACTTGTATATTTTACACACTACATACATACATACATATGTACATACATATATTGAATTGTTGTAAATTCTTTTATGATTTCTGAAATACGATTGAGTTGGACAACAATTATTTGTGGAAAGCCCATTAGTTTTTAAATCATTCACCCGAAAGTTAAGTTAAAGAAGAGGCAAATCACAGGAAATGTATGTAATGTTTAAAGATATACATAGATCCATATTCTGCATATACTATATACATATATTCGACTATAACATTTTTTTAATTGGTTTATTTTGGACAAAATGCGCGAGTGTCGTTCCCACTCACTTGCTCAGTTTATTTTTTTGTTTTTTGTTTTAATCTATCGTATCGTGCGTTATCTATAGAAAGAACTATATAAACATACATACATATGTACCAATGTAAGTGCGTGCGTGTAAGAGTTGTGTAAGGTCATCCATTGTATACTGTACATAAATGTAAACCCGTATACATATTTGTAGACTGTTGTAACCGTATCGTCCAATCGTCTTGTATGAATGTCAGAGTGTGACCGGCTTGTGTCGTGTATGCTGTATCCTGTATCCTGTGTGTCGTCTCCTCATCCGCATCGATGCGCCCGGACATGAAAGAGGCGTTCATTTATGTTCCAATTTCATTTCCGATCCTGTGTCTATGTGGGTGGAGAGTGTGCCTGTGAGTGAGTGTGAGTGTGTGTCTGTTTGTTCATGCGCTTTTTCCCCACACTTACTGCAAACGCTATTCGGCCTGGAGCAGTCACAGCGGGAGATCGGGAGACACTCGAAACATACGCTTTTACACTGTAACAAATCAAAATCAAAAAATTATATCACAAAATTGGATGCACCCTTTTCTTTGCCTTGTTTTGATCTCACATAGCTATTTTGAATACATTTTGTTCCACTGTTGTTCATGAGATGAATATTTTAATATTGAATTTTTATTGGTTTCGCACCCCCCACACACACCCCCGAAAACACTCGCACACCCAACCACATGAGTTGAAGTTTTTTTTTTTTTAATTTTTCATGTATAATTTTTGTGTTTATTATTTTTGAAAAATATTTACAAAAAAAAAAAGAGTTCTATTGTTTTCGCTTTTGGTTGAGGAAGGAATCTGGAGTAGAGTTTACGATTAGAGATCGTCGAGTGTTGAAGAAAGTACTCGAGCGTGCAAGCAGCTCATGAGGATAGCCCCTAAACGTATGCTATAGTTTAACTTTTAATTTTATTTGGTTCCCCGAAAACCCGAACCCAAAATCGATCCCAAACAACCCACCGATATGCCATATACTCGTATATCCCCGAATGCAAGGAGCAAGCCCCTTTAGCTAAGACTAATCTCAACAAAAACCAAATCTAAATGCATTGTGTTATACTATTGTCTGTACCACCTTGAAATCGGTTAACCATCAAACGAATCGGCAAATGCGAATATATCCCAAAAATTACCTGCATACAAACCTGCATCTCGAATTGAATCGAATTGAATTGAATTGAAACTGAAAAACCTGATGGATACAGGCCCCGGTCCGCCCGACGACAGCATGCCGTGTCGACACCACCAGCGAATCAAGAATCTCAGCCTGCGACACCAGCGAAAACACCAGCACACGCACCACCAAAACAAATCCCAACACTACCATCTCCAACACCACCACCAGCTGCCCCAGGATATCAAGGGTAAATCAACCTCAACCACAACCACAACCAATCAACTCTGTCCAAGTCGCGACCCAAGCCAAGCTCCTTCCACTCCTACTCTTCCCGCTGCTGCTGCCATTGTTCCTTGCGCCTGTAACACTACCACACCAGTCCCTGGATCCGGATCTGGCGGCAGCTTGAATAACCTCTCCACAACCCACGACGAGTCGGAGCGGGACTTTGACTTTGTGATACCGCCCCAGCCGGGCGGATGCCTGTGCGAGGAGTGCGGCGTGTTCGCCCCGCCCAGCACCAGTGTCACGGCCAGCACGCTGGTGGCCGACGAGTGCTACTCCCACACAGCCTCCTCCATGCTGAGTGCCACACGCAGTGCCCTCTCCACAATGGCGGCCATCGCCACGGGCAGCAGCCTGGCTGGTGGCAGCTCTGTCGGAGGAGCCAGCACAAGTGCGGCCGCTGCCGCTGCGCATGCGCATGGGCATGGGCACCCTCCCGCTGCAGCTGCTGCCTCCGCACCCGCCAAGAACAGCTCAGCCTCGACCCTCTGCTCCTCGGCCTACTTCTCCACGTCGGCGCCCACCACGAGCAGCTCGGTGCACAGCATGTCGCGCTCTAACAGCAAGAAGCTGAATAACAACACTTGCAGCATAAACCATAACAAGCCCAGCTTCCGCAGCGGCAGCCACGTGAGTCAATTGAACCTGCCCCAGCATCAGCATCAGAATCAACATCAGAATCAACAGAGTCAGCAGAGGCAAAATCTTTCATCCTCATCGCCGCTGCAGTCGCCGACCCAGAAATCGTGCGACTCGTCCGATGTCGATGCGGAAGGGGACGGTGACACAACGGATGGTGACCCCAAGAGTCCGAACAGCGCCAGATCCTCCGATCTATCTGAAACTTTCGACTGGTGGTTCAATAAGCCCAAGCGTAACTCTAAAAAGAGCAGGTATCTAATCACCGCCTTAACTATTGTAGACCGTTGCCATTGAAAGCAAATCGCAAGCACTCAAAAGACAATCAGTAAATGCCAGTCATCCCGCTAAGCCACTCCACGTCATGACCCTCTAGTCGCTCCCCTTACACCTTTTGCCTGAACACTGAACACCTGTCCTCGCTGTCCACCCACACACATACACACACCACGCACAAAAGACACGCTGTAAAAACACAAGTTACACAACACTGATCCACAAGTACAGTCACGTCCCGAACAGTGCATCCGCTTTGCCTGCTTCCCATATATACTATTACTACTCGTACACGAAACAGAAAACCGAACAGAAAATCCCATAAATGTTTGATTTGATTAAGTGGAAGAACAAAATCCAATGCAATAATAATGTATTTCTTTTTTAAATCACTTCTCATCATCGGTCATCCCATTGCCACGACTTCGAATCATAAATCACAAATCACATATCACGATCCCGAACACAAAACCACCAATACGATGCACAACACTGAAATCACCCAACACTTGAATGACAGTGCACACCAATGCGAACACCACCAACAACAACAACAACAACAGCAACACCAACACCCACAACAACTACAGCAATCCAAAGCAATGACATTTTGGCATCAAGCATCGACCACACCGCGCTCTAGTTATCGCTCTTTCTTCAATTCTCTTGCCGATCAAATTTATAGCAAACGTTCTTCATCGAGTCAATTAAATATAAACAATGGATTTAATTTAACACCAACACATAGATCGTCTCCAGTGAGTAGTTGTTGTGGCAGTAGTAGCCAGGGGCGATCCAGTCCGGACACGGATAATCCAGAGCCGCCAGTGTTTCCGCTGAGTCCAGGTTAGCATGCCGCCTTGGGTGTTTCGACCATGTTCGTACACCTTTTGCCTTGACATGGAAATGTTAATGTGGATGTGTTGCTCTTCCCTTTGATTTCTCTTCTTGTTTTTTTTTTATCTTCTTCTTTTCGATTATCGTTTATTGAGCAACTTGATGTAACCTCCACCACCCAACCACCATCGCTTCTCTCAATTTACTTGACGTCTTCTTATCCGAACAAAAAATACATAAATATATGTATATTTAACCAATTTAAACAAGACGAATTTCTGTTCTATCTTTTAGTTGAATCGTTGCATCTGTTTCTACGGTACACCTGCCGCCTACATTGCGGTCTCTTTTGTTCAATTTTCTTTTATCTTTCTCTCCTCACGCTCTCTCTTTCTCTCTCTCTGTCTCTGTGGTAATCGTATTTGTTGAGTTTGCGATTGCGCTTTCCCTTTTGATTTCCTTCGAATATACATAAATATATATATAATATTGTACTCATCACCGATCTTTGATTATTTGTACCAGTGTAAAAGCGAATATGTACTATGTTGTTCTTTCAGTGTATGCTCTCCCCAAACAGTGTTGTTGTCGCTGATCCACATCATAGCCACGATTAATGCCCCGACTCCCATTAAGCTAATGCCATCAAAATCACCCAGACTCTTGAAGTCGCTTTTGCCCAAAGCCAAATGTTGAGAAATCTTATTTTAAAATGTTGTCACGCTTTCGTTCTGCATTATTATTTGCTCGTTTGAGTGTCTACTTCTGATATCTTTAATTTGTTATTACTTATCACAAACCAATTCTAACATTCAGCTAACTTTTTAATGCAGTGTTGAGAGTGTAATCCGAAAGGTACTTCTTCCAAATGTGACTAATATGCGTATTCCCCCCAGTCCACGTAGAATCTGTAAATCTTTAAATCTGTATTGCATCCAAATTGTTTTTAATTTAATTTCGTTGTGTGCCTCTGTTTATAAAAACCCTAATGTGTGTGTGTATGTAGTATGTCTGTTTGTGCGTTTTATCTGAATAATTCTAACAAGAAATTTTTGATTTATTTTAATTTAACTTACGTTTAAAACTTTAATTTAAAATAGCTTTCGAGCGTATATTTATAAACTTTTAGTATGATTACGATATCTATACATTTTTTCCCTTCCGTTTTGTACTTGAACATTGATTGATGACCTACATATATGGTTCTGATATTCCTCTATGGGAATCGAGTATCCATCCAACAAAATACTGATCCCGAACCCACCTAACTCTCTGCCATCTTTCCCCTAATACAGCCGAGCTGCCGCAGTATTTGACCCGATTCCAATGGGACATGGCCAAGTACCCGATCAAGCAGTCGCTGCGCAACATTGCCGATATCATTTCCAAGCAGATCGGCCAAATCGATGGCGACCTGAAGACCAAGTCCCAGGCCTACAACAACCTCAAGGGAAATCTGCAAAACCTGGAAAAGAAGAAGACGTGAGTGCCGTCGAATGTGTAGTCAATCTGTGGACAGCCTTAACCTCGATCCTATATATCTCTTCCACAGTGGCAGCTTGCTGACCAGGAACTTGGCAGATTTGGTCAAGAAGGAGCACTTCATTCTGGATTCGGAATACCTGACCACTCTGCTGGTCATTGTGCCCAAGTGAGTTGGCTGAGAGATATTTCCGACTTCATTTAACATAATTCCACCATTAACCTTCTGAAAAAACAGAATCCTGACCAATGACTGGCATGCCAATTACGAGAAGATCACGGACATGATCGTGCCACGCTCAACGCAGCTCATCCAGGAAGACAGCGACTACTGCCTCTTCAATGTGACGCTCTTCAAGAAGGTCACCGAGGAGTTCAAGCTGCATGCCCGCGAGCGCAAGTTCATTGTGCGTGACTTTGTCTACAATGAAGAGGAGCTTGCCGCCGGCAAGAACGAGATGACCAAGCTGATGACGGACAAGAAGAAGCAGTTTGTATGTAATCCCTCGACGTATCCGCCCGTTGCAATGTACTAATCTTCCTACAATTTACAATCTTCGATACCAGGGACCCCTTGTACGTTGGTTGAAGGTGAACTTCAGCGAGGCATTCTGTGCCCTCATTCACGTGAAAGCGCTGCGCGTCTTTGTGGAGTCTGTGCTGAGGTACGGCAGTAATTTGTCATCTCTAACAATTGCTGGACACTCTAATCATTGTATAACTCCGACAGATACGGGCTGCCTGTCAACTTCCAGGCCATACTGATCGAGCCCAACAAGAAGAGCGTGAAGCGTTTGCGTGATGTGCTCAACCAGCTGTACGGACATCTGGATGGTGCCTCGGCTGGCGGCCAAGCCAGCAGTGCTGATGTGGGTTTTCAATTATCACCGATTGAATTCGTTTAAACTTGCTTAATTTCTTTGCTCTTTTCTTACAGAATGTGGATATACCCGGCCTGGGCTTTGGCCAATCCGAATACTATCCCTATGTGTTCTACAAGGTCAATATCGATATGGTGGAGCAAAGCAAGGCTTAGGATGTGCCGCCTGCTACACCCATCCCATTCAGCCAGCCCACAAAATACATAATACACACACACAACCAAGCAAATATACCACTAATGAAATCCATCGGCTGAACCAAGCATTCGCAGTTGCTTTGGCAAAATTATACAGAACTACAAGCAGAATTGAAATGAAATGAAAAGAAAGAAAATAGTTAAATTTAAATAATTTTAGTCATTGTTATATAATTATTGTTGTTATTTATGTTTGCGCGTTGTCAGAATTCTGTTTCAAATTCACTTCCGGCTAGAGAAATCACAAGACGCGTCAGCAATCAAACAAAACTAAGCAAAACGAACGTTTCCAGTCATCCCAGATCTTGTAGGAGCCTCTTTTTGTATCACCGTGTCCCTCCTGTACATCTTCAGTTTGAAAGAAAACCAGTATTTTATGTTGTTCTAATGCCTTACCATATTGATGAATGAATTGAATGTTTAACACGTAGCTAAGGCCCAGGAGTTCCCGTCTCCCTTTTTTGTGTTTGGCAGCAACCCAATAAACATTTGAGTTATATTTTGTTTTAAAACGCCTTTTGTCTCGTTTTGTGCTTCTACTCCACTCGGTATATGCATATGTATGTATCTGTATCTGTGTCTGTTACTAACTAAAAGCAATCCAACAGCAGCCAGCAAACAATAGCATGACCCACAATTAGTGTAAGCAGACAATTAGGGGTTCCGTGGGAGCCTGTCCTTACAAAATGTTGACCCAAAGCAAACAATTAACTAACGAAAGTATTGTATTTATATAAATGTTGCGTAGTTATCAAAGTTTATTAACTATGCGCGCATGTTTCAACACTAATCGCAATGAGGATCGCCCACAGTCCGACTATTTATGTGGCTCCGCTTATTGTTTCGTCTCTACTACTACTACTATTCTATTATATATGCAAACACTAACCATGAGTGTGGAGTGTGTTAACAAGCCCCTAACCACCGCCAGTTGCAGCAATGAGAGCCAGAATAAGGATCAGATCGGGGGATTGCATCGGGCGAAATGAACAATAATATTTGTACGAGTAATGTAAAGTTGTTTTTTTTCAGTTTTTTTCCATTATTGGGCCGCAAGTTGTGTGTACCAATATAAGCAAATCGTGAGAGAGATACAGTATCTATATATAAATATTTTAAAACTATGCCTAATATGTGTATACAAAACAGAAAACAGAAACTATGTAATTGTCATTGCGTTATATAAGGTGCAATTAAGCCATCCTTGTAAATAATTATAAAGAAAGAAAGACATTCCCAACTTTGTTTCGTTATCAATTGATTGCATCGGTCTACAGAGTCCACAGTTTGCTCTGTTTATTATTCTTTACGATCCTTTTAGCTTAGGTTAGGTTTTAGTTTAGACGGCTGGCTGTCCATTCAGGTTCCATTCAGTTCCGCTCCTCAAGAACCCGGCACACCCTTTTACCGGTTACGGTTCGGTTGTGATACCGGTGGGTGGCATCTTCACATCATCCCCTGTCCTGGGCGTCAGCAGTGCTCTCCCGTCCAGATGCTCAAAGAAAGTGTCCTTTAAATTTATACATAGATTTTCCCTTCAAATCTCCTGTTTGGGCTTGCTCTGCGAGGAGGCATTCCGCGATATTTTGAGAATATTCGGTGGCTTCGGCTGGTTTTTGTCCGCCTCGTACTGGGCGCGGTGCAGCCGCTGGCGATGCTTGTACATGTTGGCGCTGCAGAAGAACGTCATTGGGCAGTTCGGACAGGTGTAAAGTACTTCGCCGGTGTGCGTGGACGTGTGCTCCTGCAAGCCAGATGAAAGAGAGATATTGAAATCGCTGAAGTGGACGGGGTCGTCACTTCAACACTCACCTTCAGCTCTTGCGGGCGCTTAAATGCCTTCTCGCACATCGTGCACTTGAATTTGCGTTCGCACTCGTGATTGTGATAGATGTGACGACGAAGCGCTCGAGCATTGGGCGAGACCTTGGAACAGATGTGGCACCGGTGCTCGCCGGCGCTCTCCACATGAATACTCTTCATGTGCTGCTTCAGGCCAGTCATGCCCTTGAGCCAGGCCCCGCAGATCTGGCATTGCTTGAGCTCCGGCTCTGGCCGCGGCTTGTCCGAGTGCATGAGCTCCTGGTGCTTCTTGAGGATGATTTTTGTGCGCATCTGCTTGCCACACTTGTCGCAGATGATGGTGCTCTCTGGATCGTGCATAGAGTTCATATGGTTCTTGAGTTTTCGCTCCGTCAGGAATCTATTGGGATGTAACCATGGTTTATTTAAGATTCTACAGAAAACCTCAAGTTTACTCACTTCTTGTTACAATCGCTACACGTAAATTTGAACTCGGACTTGGGGACATGCTTGTTGAGCTTGTGATAGTCGATGGCTGTCTTGCTGAGGAAGACCTTCGAACAGAGGTCGCACTGAAAGGTCAGCTTGATGGCTGGATCCAGGTGGACCTGTTGATGCGACTCCAGGTGCCGTGAGTTCTGGAATGACTTCTCGCAGATGCTGCACTTGAAGTGCTCTGGGTTCCAGTGGACCTGCACATGTTCCGCAAGCACTTTACGTTGGCTAAATTTGCGGCCGCAGCACATTACGTAGCCGGGATCAACCTGGTGGGTGAGACGGTGATGTCGCTGCATGTCCGTAAAGTTGTGCACAGACAGATTGCAGATCGGACACGCCAGCACGCTGTTGAAGAACTTGCCAATGATGATGTCGTACTCCTCCTGCTGCTTCTTGCGCTGTTCCAGAAGCTCGCGCGACATGCGCACCTTCGGCTCAGTCGGCTTCGTTCTCTTTTTGTACTTCTTGGGCCGCACGACAGTTCTCTTGGGTACAACGGCAAACTCCAGCTTATCTTTATTGCCCAGCTCAAAGTCCGAGTCGGTGTCTTCATCACTTCCTTCCGAGTTGTCCTCAAAACTGTGGTCGCTGGTCGCAAGACCTTCGTCGATGTTGCAGGAGAAGTCTGGATCTTCGTCGATAAACTCAGATTCCTCCTCTTCCGATTTAAGATTCAGTGATACATCCTCTTCCGGCTTGGCAGTGGACTCAATGGGGTTATCCACTTTGCGTGGACGACCACGTCGTTTTTTTGGCTCAGCTAGCGCCGGCTCAGCCGCTCCATCTTCGTTATCTATAAATGCTTCATCTTCTGCTTTTACGCGCTTTCTCAAGCGCCTCGTTGCCGTGGTCGTGGACTCCTCTTGGGCAGGCTGTGTGTTTGCTGTGGCTTCAAGGATCTCAATCCTAGGTAAGTGGTCCAGCTCATGCTCCTCTATTTTAACCTCGGGATAGAAGAAATTCCTCCCGCAGCCGAGTTCTGGTTGGTCCTGGGGTCTGACTTCATCTTCGGCACCTAATTTTGTGGTCTCGATGAAGTTGCACTGCGTGAGCGGATCATCCTCCATCAACAGGGCCTTTGTTTCCTGCAACGAGCTCTGTGCTTGGCTAACAAAATCATGTAGCGCGTGAAACTCCGAAACGGTTTTCCAGCAGCGTCCGCACACCCGGTCGGGACTGTTTTCCGTCACTTGCAGTGGAAAGTGTTTACTTATTATCCTGGCTACCTCCAGTTCGCTGCCTCTCGCGGTGTGTACACCAATAAGCTCCCCAAACGTCGATGGATACTCACACATGCACAGTAAACACATCGTTGATTCGGCTAGAAAGGAAAGAACAATTTAATAGATACATAGATAAACTGTGGCGTCCTCGGCTTGGTCTGGCCGTGGGCGGCTGGAGCTCCTGGCTCCTGCTGCTCAAAACCAATGAGAAGGCACTCTTACCCATTGTGATTTTAGGTCTGTTTTACATAAAATTGATCCCCATTTAATGTATTGCTTGTAAATACGATTATTTATTTACTAAATGAAATTGTTAAAAAACCGCAGTTGCAAACAAAATTACAGCTGTTCGTAGAGATGCTGCGTTATATCGTTATACTTTCAGTGCGATAGTTCCAGTATTTTCAACCTAGCAACCTCGTTGTCCTAACACACCTTGGTAATTTATGAATAGAAAGTCAATGTTCTGGATCTAAAAGGAATCGAATATGTTTATATATTTATTAATCATTTAATTTAATCAGAATCCACATAACCTGGAGAAGGACGGCAATCTATCGTAAGTGAAACAATTCAATCGACATGTATCGATAGTACTATCGATGGTCTTGCAGCTCAAGCTGGATTAAATGTTCAATTTTTTTGTTAAAAGTAAATTTTAACAAAGATTTACTGTCTGTCCATGTCCTGCTGCCTGTTCTTACAATACTTAACTAACTAAGGATATCAAGGACATAAGTAAGTACTGGTAATATACTACGTGGAACCGAAACTGACTGGTCATTTGTTTACTTGTTTAGTTTCACTTTGTTAAATCTTCAAGCCATGTCTGACGCCAATAAAAATATGAAAAAAGGAGCCAAGTGCAGCAGTCCGCAGAGTGGAGAAAGCAGCAAAAAAGGAGCCCCCATCCAGAGGTTGAGAAAGACCGTTTGGTATACCATTGACAAGGTTCTGGAGGAGACCGTTTGTCCCAGCTGTGGCAGAGCGATGACCGCGTTCAAAAATCCCATTGCCCATGTGAAAAAGTGTTTTAGCATTAGGAGACTCGGAACCGTGTACAGACTCCATGGCTACACGGAGTGCAAATGCGGTCTTCTCATATCCGACAAGCCAAAAGCCAAGAAGCTCCATGTTTGTGTGGTAAGTCCGCTCCTTAGTGCCTTTTCCAAATGGTGTTCCGTACAATTTGCGAATTTTTCAGGGTGCAGTTCCAGATTTTGACCCAGCCCTCTCATTTGAACCAGAGGAGCCTTTGCCTGAATCGCCTAAGCCTGCATCGTCCAAGCTTGCATCGTCTAAGCATGCACCTTCGCCTGCAAAGCACCAGCCCTTGAAGAGTTTGGAGCACAAAGTGCTACAGCCAAAAGCTGAAGTATGGATACGCAACTTTGTAACTCCCATTAAAGTTGACTACACCGAGATGCCAGAAGTGGAAAAGCAGACATTCAAACACAATCCCAATCTCAAGCCAAAGCCGCGGGTGCGCAACTTTGATAGGCGAACGATTTGCCAACAGCCCGACGATGTATGCGTCTATTCCATAATTCGCAAGAATGGAGCTATCTCGATAGCGGTGCATTCTCCCGAATCAAAGCGAGCGGTCAATGAGAACAATGAGATGGAAATCGGAAAAGCTGCTCCACGCCTGCCAACGGTTCCAAGGAAGCGCCCCTTATGAGTTTTATCGCTTAATAATAGCATATAATTATTACAATAGGACTCGACGAACGCTACTGCTAGCCATTAGTTTAACAAATACATACAAATTATATTATATTTGTCGTGAAAGTTTTCTCTTTAAGCGGCTGGAATAATTAACACTACATTCTACATTACATTCTAAACTTCACGTTGGTACGTTGTACAATTAAATATATCGATATATTTTCCTCCCATCACTAATTAACAATTTCAACTGCAAGCGTATTGTATTCCACGTACCGTACTGAAATTTTCCGGAGAATTATTTATCAAATATCCGTATGTCAGCTGCCAAAGCCCAGGAATATGACTGCACTGCCAAGTGTACATGTCGGCAGCATGGAAACTGCATCACAGCCGCGCTTACGAAGCGCTCAATCGACAATCAAAACCTGGGAGCGTTTATCTTCAAGACTTGCGGAAATTTCGCCAACATCCTAGATGACCTGGTAAGGGCAGCACTAAGTAGTCTCCAATATGTGCACTGAAACTATTTAATTTCCCCAGGGCCGCTCTGCGGTGCACATGTCGGCTTCAGTGGCGCGATATGAGATTCTGGAGTGGCTATTGAACCACGGAGCTTACATTAACGGACTCGACTACGAGTCTGGCAGTAGTCCCTTGCATAGGGCCCTGTACTACGGCTCCATAGACTGTGCTGTGCTTCTGCTGCGCTACGGGGCAAGCCTGGAACTGCTGGACGAAGACACACGATGTCCGCTGCAAGCTATTTGCCGAAAGTGCGACGAAGACTTCACCACAGAGTCGCAGTGAGTCCATCCAGAGCTACAGGCAGTCCTGACCTAACCCATTCTGTCGCCGTGCAGGAACGATGTCCTCGTCTGGGGCTCCAATAAGAACTATAACCTCGGCATTGGCAACGAGCAGAACACCAATGCTCCTCAGGCGGTGGATTTCTTTCGGAAGTCCAACATCTGGATAGAGCAAGTGGCATTGGGGGCCTATCACAGTCTCTTTTGCGACAAGAAGGGTCATCTCTATGCCGTCGGCCATGGCAAGGGCGGACGGCTGGGCATTGGTGTGGAGAACAGTTTGCCGGCCCCGAAGCGTGTGAAGGTCTCATCGAAGCTGAACGACGATTCCATATTGTGCATCAGTGTGTCCCGACAGCACTCTCTGCTGCTCACGGATCGTTCGTTGGTGTTTGCCTGCGGCATCAACACCGACCATCAGCTGGGAGTGCGTGATGCGCCCGAGAATCTGACGCAGTTCAGGGAGGTGGTCGCATTGCGTGACAAGGGGGCCAGCGACCTGCTGCGAGTGATCGCCTGCGACCAGCACTCCATTGCCTACAGCAGCAAATGTGTGTACGTCTGGGGGTCCAATCAGGGGCAATTTGGCATCAGTGCCAACACCGACACCATTATGGTGCCCACATTGGTGAGTCTTTCTATATTTAGATGAATATAAAACTAAAGTAAGTCGCTCATGCAATCCCTTGGTAATATTTCAGATAAAACTACCTGCGCGCACTTCAATCCGCTTTGTGGAGGCCAACAATGCAGCCACGGTAATTTACACAGAGGAGAAGATGATTACTTTATTTTATGGTGACAAGACTAGATACATTAAGACTCCAAAGTAAGTTTTACCCATCACTTATCGCCATATTATTATTAACATATGTGTATTGTTTTGTCCAGCTACGAAGATCTCAAGAGCATTGCGGTGATGGGCGGCCATTTAAAGAACTCAACGAAAGGATCTGCGGCAGCCCTCAAGCTACTGATGCTCACTGAGACGAATGTGGTGTTCTTGTGGTACGAGAATACACAGCAATTCTACAGGTGCGTCTGTCCAGCTCCCTAAAAAACCTTTTACCATTGAACAATTATTCTTGCAGATGCAATTTTTCGCCAATACGCCTGCCTCAGATTAAAAAGGTGCTGTACAAGTGCAATCAAGTCCTGATTCTGTCACTGGATGGCTGCGTCTATCGCGGCAAGTGCAATCAAATAGCCCTGCCAGCCAGCATGGTGGAAGATAAACCCAAGCTCAACCTGGATATATGGCACAACAACGATCAAAATCGCACGGAGATTTCGAGGGAGCATGTGATACGCATCGAGATGCAGCGTGTGCCCAACATTGATCGTGCCACCGATATATTTTGCGACGAGAGCTTTTCCTCGTTCGCCGTGCTGCAGGAGTCGCATATGAAGTACTTCCGCAAGCCGCCACTGCCACGCAGGGAGCACAATTTCAAGAAGCTCTACCATGACACCTGTGAATCGGATGCCGTGCACGATATCGTCTTCCATGTGGATGGGGAGCGCTTTGCGGCGCACAGGTTCATCATCTATAGTCGGGCCCCTGGCCTCAGGGAGCTCACTCGCATCTACTTGGACAAGAATGTCTATCTGAACTTTGAAAATCTCACGGGCAAGATGTTTGAGCTGATCCTTAAGTATATATACACCAAATACTGGCCAACCGAGGATGGTGAGTGGCAATTAAACATGCGAGCGAATTACTGATAACATTTTTGGGTTTCTTCTTTTAGATATAGACTGCATCCAGGAGAGTCTGGGGCCCTCCAACCCTCGACAGCGAAGTCGAGCCTGCGAAATGTTAATACCGCATCTGGAGACCTTTCAATTGGTCGAACTAGCCAGATACGTGCAGAGCTACGTACGAGATCATCAATTTCCATTGCCTAGTGCCCGGCAGCGCTTCAATCGGCTGCAACGCTCAGACTATCCAGAGCTCTACGATGTGCGTATCGTGTGCGAGGACTCGAAAGTTCTGGAGGCCCACAAATGCATGCTGGTGTCACGCTTGGAGTACTTTGAAATGATGTTCATGCACTCGTGGGCCGAGCGCACCACAGTTAACCTGGAGGGAGTCCCCGTTGAGTACATGGAGCCAGTCCTGGACTACCTCTACAGCCTGGATACGGAGGCATTCTGCAAGCAGAACTACACGGAAACATTTCTGTACAACATGATCACGTTCTGCGATCAGTACTTCATTGAATCGCTGCAGAATGTATGCGAATCGCTGATTCTGGACAAGATCAGCATACGCAAGTGCGGGGAGATGTTGGACTTTGCCGCGATGTACAACTGTAAGCTGCTGCACAGGGGATGCATGGACTTCATCTGCCACAACCTGGCCAGAGTGCTCTGCTACCGCAGCATCGAACAGTGCGATGAGGCCACCCTCAAATGCCTCAACGACCATTACCGTAAGATGTTCTCCAATGTCTTCGACTACCGCCAGATCACGCCCTTCTCGGAGGCCATAGAAGATGAGCTGCTGCTTAGTTTTGTCAATGATTGCGAGGTTGACTTGGACTATCGAATGGATCCGGTTTGTCTGCCGTTTGTCTGCCTGTTGATTCCCCCTGAATATCTGTTTGCTTTTTCAGGAAACAAAACTAAAGGCGGCAGCGAAGCATAAGCAGAAGGACTTGAGGAAGCAAGACGCCCGTCACTACTACGAACAGCAGGCCATATCCAGCATGATGCGATCCTTGAGCGTTAGCGAGTCTGCCCATGGCCCCGAGGCAATAACCGGCCCACAGGAAAACTCTCGAAACGAGGGCAAGAACTGGTCCCGGGTGGTGGACAAAAAGGAACAGAAGCGGAAGCTAGCCGACACTGCCCTGAAAGTGAACAACACACTCAAGCTGGAAGAGCCGCCGAGGCCGGAGCTAGAGGTCGTTGAAAGGACGCCCAGTAAGGAGCAAACGCCTCCGCCAACCTCCCCCGCAGCAGAGACCAGCACGCCGCTAAGTAAAAGCTACAATCTCGATCTAAGCTCCCTGACGCCCCAGTCGCAGAAACTATCGCAGAAGCAACGGAAACGTCTCTCCTCTGAATCGAAGAGCTGGCGCTCGCCTCTGGTGGAGCAAGAGCCCAGCACTCCTGTGGCCGTACCGAATGCCTGGGGCTTAACACCCGCCACTGCGTCGAGTTCGTTTAACGATTCGCCAGCAACCGGCAGCGTGTTGGATCCCACCTCCTTTGCCAATATGATGCGAGGCCAAGCGGCAGCGGCAGCTGCAGCAACGTCCACGGAGAAGGGACAAAGCTTCTCCCGGATCCTCGCCGAGGAGCGACGCCAGCGGGAGTCGTTCGAGAGGATGCGAAACAAGTCACTGGCGCACACACAGATCGAGGAGGCAGCCATTGCCGAGCTGCGTGAATTTTACAACGTTGACAATATCGATGACGAGACAATCACCATTGAACGAAAGTCCAGGCCCACAGACATTAACTTCAGCACTTGGCTAAAGCACTGAGTGTGGTATCTTACATATGCAGCCCCTGAGGCTTCCCTTTAGTCGCGGATAGAGAGAGATCGCTAGAGTGGGATTTCTGGTGCAAAGGGGAGGTGCAGCATTTTAATTTATTTGTTTATTTTTGTGTCCGTACTAGAATTGTAGCTGTAGCTGTAGCTGTAACTGCACGTGGAGATGCGCGCCTGCCATCAAATGTAGAACTCGGAGCCACCTGCAAAGGTGTGCATTATGTACTGGGCTGAGCCTTGGATGCAATCAGAGGACGGCACATCGAGTAACAAACTTTATTGTATGAGTATATAGATAGATATACATAATTGTATGTGGCTACAGATATTTACAAGCTGGTGGGGCGGGCGGGGACACTGTTGAGTAACGGATGAGACAACAACGACAACATATGACGAATAAATAGCCATCTAAGCTTAGCTAACCGAACCGTACCCGAAGTAATAAACCCGTTGCTTATGCAAATGAGATTAGCAATGGGTGGATGGATGGATGGGCAATGGACACATGGACGGAGAGAAACAACGAAGACGGACAGAGCAAGAGCAAGAGATTGATGGATTGGATGGCTTGTTTAGAAGCACTCCTTACGAAAAGAGAACCCGTACTGATCGCACTTGTAGCGCAGCGTCTTGGCCAGCTGCGGGGGACCGCAATAGAATACGGTCACCTTGCCCTTCTGCTGTGCCTGCAGCTGCTTGAACACCTTGTCCCAGTTGGGGCGTCCGGCATTTGTGCGCGTCTTCAAGCCCGTGATAAGATCCCGCTTGCCCTGAGATACAAAATGGAAGAAATTTACGGAATTGGAATTGAAATATAATTGATTGTTGGCATACTATGTACCTTCTCGTGGAGCAAATCCAGGGCCAGCTGTAGACCCACCGCCTTCATGTCGGTCCTCTGCAGGGCACTCGTGATGTACATGTGCATGTCCAGGAAGCTATCGAAGGAAAACCCCGTCAGGGAAGCTCTAGGAATTGGAATTGGAAATAATTATGTACTCCTACCGTTCCATGGCGCCGCCCAGCTCCGCCTGCTCAATCTCCAGCTGGGAGAGAAGGTTCACAAACCACTCGAAGGATCGCTGATCGCGATTGATCCAAAAGAAGTCCACCTTGCGCAGATTCATCACAGACTTGGGGATCTCGCTGGCCCACTCGAACTGGCAGCGCGGACAGCTGTGTCGCGCCTTCCAGTAGCGGTGCATGATGGACTGCAGAATGGAGGCGAAGGGCGTCACACCGATCCCTGTGCCGATGAGCACCGCATGCTGGGCCCCAAAGATGTGGCTTGAGGGCGCACCGTACGGGCCGTCGATGAATATCTAAGAGCGTATCAGCGCAGGGGAGAAACAGAGAAGTTAGCAAATGAGATCGGGTTAGTGCCCGGGCTGAGGGGCCGAGTGTGTGTGTGTGTGTGTGTGTTGGTGTGACCCAAACCTCCATGACGCCCGCATCGAGTGTGACCTTGCTACCGCTGTTAGTTGTAGAGCTGCTGCCACCACCTCCGCCGCCGCGGTTCGTTAGGGAGGTGGACAGGGTGCGTAGGAATGTGGGACGCCGCAGAATGGACTTTCTGCTGCTCGTCCACGTTTGGGTGTTGTCCTTTTTGTTGAATTGGATTGGATGGTTGTTAGTTTGAGGGCGATCTTAGTTAGTTCTACGGCTTTGCGCTACGGCAAACATACCTCGAGCGGCTTGGACACGGCGTCCGCCGTCAGGCTGAGCCTGGTCATCTGCAGCCTGTCGCTGGACTCCGCCTTGGCCAGCTGTCCCTGCTCCGCCCTGCTGGCCGGACTGCCGCTGTTCTCCGGCGCCATCGCCAGCTGCGACTGCGACTCGTGCTCCTCCACGCTGGGCGTCTTGAAGGCAATGATGGTGGGCTTGTTGCGCATGTAGCGGAAGCTCTGGGCCAGCGACTTGTTCTGCGGACTGAGGTAGGCCAGGCCCACGCTGTTGTTCCGGGCACGGCGCACCCGCTTGTCATCAAAAGTACGCTCCGACTCCGAACGGCCCAGGGCACGAAGACTTTGAATGCAAAGAGGATGGATTAGGGATTCACCTTCGTTGGGTGGGTTGGGATGTACTTACGCCTTGAGCCGGCTGCGCTTCTTGATCTTCACACTGATGTCCGGCAGCGAGATGCTCTTCTCCAGCGGCCGCTGCTTGAATCCGCCCGGATCCTCGCGCTCCCCGTCGCCGACGAAGGCGCCGTTGAGCATGCCCGTCGCACTGGGCTTGCTCTTCGGCTCACCGGGCTCTTTGCGGGAGAAGGTTCGCTGCAGGGTTTTCTTGATGCTCCGGATGCGATTAACGCCCATCGCTGGTGGGGCAGGCTCCGGCGCATGGGGACTGCCGCCCGCGAGCTTGCGATGCTGACGAGGAGGTCGCACCGGCGGTCCCGCCTGTCCGACCATGTTGCGGGCGAGGAAATCCGTTTGCGGAGTGGACGTGGCAATGGCGGCCATGCCGCCGGCCAGCGCCGGATTGCGTGTCTCGTTGAGGAGCATGAAGCTGGGCGTGGGAATGGCGTGCATGTGCTGGCCCGCCTCGCCCTTGTGCAGCTTCTGCTGCTCGCGCTCGAAGTAGCGGTAGAGGCGGTTGGTCCACTCGCCCACGGTGCGGATGTGCAGCCACATGTAGTCCTCCTGCTCGGGCGCGGAGCTGATGGTGAACGGATGCCACTCGTAGTTGGCGATGGCGGGAATGTTGACGAACACATAGTCGCCGGGGCGGAAGTTGAAGTTGAACGGCCGCTTGATCACCAGATGGATCACCTTGGAAGGCAGCAGCAGGCCGGAGCTGATGTAGGTCTTGCCGTGCTCGCCCCGCATCCACACGTAGCGCAGCACCCGCTCCACGATGTAGACGAGACCCGGCAGCAGGAACCACTTCCAGAAGTTGGGCCCGTGGAACAGGGTGAGTATCCAGAAGGGGACGTACAGCAGGTGCGTCCAGTAGAAGACCTCGAAGCTGCCCTTGCGCCGCACGAACGGCTGCGAGCAGACGAACATCACCACGAGTATGGTGAGCAGGGCGACGCCCGTGGGATTGGCACAGCCCGGTATCAGGCCAAACAGACCCGGACGATCCGTCAGCAGCCACTCCCCGATCGTGTAGTGGCCGGCATTGATGTTCGGGTCGTTGATCACGATAATGGAGAAGTTGAACAGATGCATGATCGTGTGGACCAGGCTGAGCACCGATATGGTGATGCCCGTCAGCTTGTGCAGGTAGACATGATGGTCCAGCGGCAGATACGAGGACAATCCCCGTCCCCTGAGATACGTGAGGGAGTGCCGCAGCATCAGCACCAGCACCCAGGCGCAGTTGAAGTTCAGGCATTGTCCTGCAGCATTTGAAACGTAAATCTAAAGATCGGAGGGTATCGGAGATCTACAGCTAGAACTACTACTCACCGCAGGCTCTGGCTATGATGACAAAACCATTGCTGGCCCGGTACTGGATGGCACGGGAGATGAACAGGCACAGATTGACGGCTATGTAGAAGAAGAGGTACGTGACAAAGACCTGGTTGTTCTTCATGTAGGCCAGCGTCAGCTGGTGAGGTATCGTGTTCCACAGCCTGCCAGCTACCGCCGGACGATCCTCGGCAACTGGCACCAGCCACCGATCGATCCTAAAATATTGCAAACAAACCATTCAAGTCTCTCCCTCTCTCTCTCCATCAGACGCTGAGCTTACGTTATGCTGAGGTTCTCCAGGAGACCGCCGTGCTTGTGCAGCTGATTTTTGAGCGCCTCGTAGGTGATCTCGCCGCTGTTGTGCGGATCCGCATCCTCGAACATGGCACTGGTGAGGTCCTCGATCTGATCCTCGGAGAACTCCATGCCGTTCTCCTTGATGCAGTGCCGTATCACATCGTGCAGCTCCTTGTGCTGTATGAGGCCATCGCCTGCAAAGGATGGACATGGATGCGGTTAACAGTGGATCCGATCCTCCATTGCTCGCCACCCTCACCCTCACCCTCACTCACCATCAATGTCGTAGACCTTGAACAGGAAGCGTATCTTGTCGTCGGCCGACTGGCCCGAGAACTGGTGTATGGCATCGATGAACTCCTGCAGCGAAATGGACCCGGAGTTGTCCTTGTCAAAGATTTGAAAGACACGCTCCGTGAAGAAGGGCTATCCCACACACGAGAAGGAAAGTTTGTTAGCCTCATAGGGTACATGCACATATACATTTGGATGGTGAACCCACATTCTTGGAGGTGACAATCTTCTGGAATTCCTCGCGACGAATCTCCTGCTCGTTGCCGACGGTGTTGCGGAACAGCTGCTCCAGGCGGGCCAGCGAGCTCTTGTCGAAGCCGGTGCGCGGCCGGGAGTTGGTCAGATGCGAAATAAACTCCATTACCTGATTGGTGGAAATGAGATTGGTCCCGTCCATGTCTATCAGGCGGTACAACTTGTCCAGTATCTAGGATTAGGCATGGATTAGTGGATGTCCGATACACCTGGATGCACCTGCACCTGCAGCTGCAGCTGCTTGGTGGGCTACCACTTACTCCGCGCGTATGCCAGATGTCGCGAAAGTTCTTGAAGCTCACTCTGCTGTTCTCACCGCAGATCACATAGGCCACCGATTCGATCTGCTCGGCAAAGTCCATCTGACGGTCGTCGCTGTAACCGAAACCCCAAAGAGATCGATCTCAGTATTACCATTAACGATACCCAATACCATGCCCCCCGCCCCCATCGCCTGTCTGCTCCCCATCTCTAACACGCTCCCGCTGCTGGAGCTGCTCGCGCTATATTTGTATTTGAATGACTTCATTACGACAGGCAGCCCAATGACAGTTTCTGGCGCAGTCTCAGTCTTAGTCTCAGTCTTGGTCTTGGTCTTAGTCTCAGCTTCATTCCCAGTGCCAGTGCCAGTGCCAGTCGCAGTCGCAGCTTTAGTCAGAGTGCCAGCTTCAGCTTCAACTTCAGCTGTTGCTGTCGAGGCATGCGGACTATGTTAGCTGTTGTATATGTTAACATACAACACAGATAGCATCGCCATTGGCGATGCCATCTCACGGCAGACTATGTCTTGGGCCTGGCCTGCGCTGCTCTGCTCTGCTCTGCACTGGACTGGTGCTGCTCTGGATAAGTGTAGCGCTGGCATTTCAATTCGTGGCAA